GATTTGCTGGCAATTATATTAAGGAGAACTTCATGCAGAACTTATGAGCTCCTTCATCCATACACTGTAGCTGATTTTGTTGCATATTTTTATTTTTGAAAAACATTCCCCAGTAATTTTAGGGGTGGGAAATAATAATTCCTTAAAATAATGTTGCAGGGCTTGGGAAATTGTGATCTGATGATCATGAAATCTCAGAAGCGTTCTCTGATTGAGTAGATTGAAGTCTTGTCTTTGTGTGTTTCTCTGTTCTTCAACTTTTGCTGTAAAGGTTTAGAACGAGGATTTTAAACCATGATTTTTTTAATAGCATTTTTCATCCCATTTTTTCCCTGTTTTGGCAAACATGCAACATAGTAAAAGTCATGCTACAGTGAGAGAAGGAAGAAAATGTACTCATCTCGTGAAAACATACAGTTTGTACATGTATTTATTTTGAGTAGTCATGCATAACAGTCAATCAGTCTTCACAAAACAGCTGATTTGCAGGTTAATAAAATGCACTTTGCCAGTAAAATGGCCAATGATTGCAGTTGTGGTGTATTTTTGATTCTTTACAATCAGCACTTATGCTATGTATGCTTTAATACTCTCTGTCCTCAGACCTATCGTGATGAGGTAGCTGTTGGAGTGTGTAATGAAACTTGTTTCATTTTTTCTTTCACCTTGTTCCCGATTTATTACCAGAAATTCAATGAGCACAAATGCGGCGTGTAGTAATTTCCCATCTGTTGTGTGACTGCTGTAAAGGCTACCTTTACTGCACCACTGCAACTGAACATTATAGAACAACAGATAGGAACAGGTACGAAACAACATTAGCTTGTCCCACATCCCTCATGCATCCTCATGACTTCAAGAAATATTTTTTATTGCACATCAAGGAAATGCTGAGTGAAATGGACACGTCTACTGGTTGGTGAGCTGGTTGGTGAGCAATTCTATAATAGATTTCTTATTGGATGGGATTGTTGACGTTACCCTCGTGATTATTCCCATACACTTGATATATTACCATACTGCGTACCCAGTTACCGGTCTGTTTGATTTCCAGGCCCCGGTTGTTCAAACGTTGGATAGCACTATCCACCGGATAAATCACTATCCAGCGGATAGCGTAATTGATTTCCCTAATACTTATCCGCTGGATAGTGATTTATCCGGTGGATAGCGCTATCCAACGTTTGAACAACCGGGGCCAGATATCATATAAAGCCTTATCCAAATGGAAATTTGCAGGAAGGTGTTTTGGCTTCGATGAAGTGTTCTGGGGAGAAGGAGAGCGGGGAGGTCAGATGGACAGATTCAAAGTTCAACACTGGACATAAGAACAACTAGAGTGAACAATGACTTAAACTTACACATGGTTGCATTAACATTGTTTTATACCTAAAAAATACCTTTGCTGCGATTAAATGCACTCTTATAGTGGTTTATTAATAAGCCTAGTTAATTCCTAATGAATTCTCCCACTTCTTAATTTTTCCCTTAGCAATTTTTCTAAAGCAATGTTATTGCAATGAGGTGTAAACATCACACGTGTATAGCAAGGGATGGGGGAGGGGCAAAAGCTGCTTTTTTATGTTCCTGTTATTGTAGCTGCCATCTTTGATTTCATGACAGAGGAAGATTGGGGAGAGCAACCCTCACAGTAGGTGCTAGGTTGAAAGAAGGAGAGGGTGAGGGGAGAGAAAAAAATACTCTCAACTCTCCCTCTCTCTCTCCGCCCCCTCCCCCGCTCCCTTTCACTCGCCCCATTTCATCCTCTCTTGGAGTTTCAACATGGCACTTTTGTGACAAAAACATTCGTGCGCCCAAAGAAAACACCTGCTTTGGAGGCTAACAGCCTTCACAAAAATAAGATTTTCCCTGGAATGTAGCAATGGTGTTTAAATCCTCAAGTACTATAATGCTATGTTCAATAAAAAGTCCTCTTTGTCCTCTGGTAGTTCATGAACAAAACTGCTCCTCTCCTGCTTGTTAGGGTTGAATTTATCCCTCACACTTATTTCCAGTTTTTTATCATCCTCACTCATTTCTTCACCCTTTTTCATGGCATAGAAAAAGTAATGAAAGGAGTCACCAAAAGGCTGCATAGAAATTGACCAACCATAGTGTGACTTGGCCAGGAAAGCTTCCTGAAATGGGGCTGTGAAAATGTTACTGAAATAAAGTGTCCTCCATGTCTTAAAACTTGGGAAATCTGTTAAAAGGAAAAAAGAAAAATGGCTGATAAAAATTACACTGTATGACTATAATCAATACCTAAGACAAATGTACTTCTTTCAGTGTAAACCTCCCTGTAAATTCCAGTTTAAATTTTCATACTGTTGTGGGCTCAACATAACAGCTGGAGAATGGACAATGTCTGGCCAAGATGACCATTTGTATCATCTGTATCATGGAAAAATTGCAGGAGTGATTGCATCTAATATCCGACCCACTAAATATCTTACTTGAAAAATCGATCCCACAGTACCACAGCCATGTTCAGTAGTCAATGAATACTTAAATGTAAGTGAGTAAAACGAGTGCTTTTGCAGTCCCGCAATCTCACAGTCCCTGAGAAGTTAATATTAAGAGGGTATACAACTACTGCTGCCCCAGTCTTGCAGGTAACTAGTGCACTTATAGAACAAGGTATACTAGTGCTCCTGCAGCTCTGCACTCCTGCAGTCGATGTCAGAATTTATTATGCAAATCAGACAACTGGGGGACCGTGGGAGCAGTTTTGTTAAAATTGTATATTGAGTGGGTCAGGTATTCTGCCAATCCAGCCTAATTTCAGAAAAATCAGATTTTAAAAGTTAAAACAAACATTTCCTCTTCCACTCCTCCATTACTCCAACAGGGCTGTCAACACTCCCGGATAATCTGGGAGACTTCAGATTTTAAACCTTTTCCCCTGGTCTCCAGATTAGAGTCTGAAATCTCTCGGATAATCGCCAAAGTTTGCCATTTCTTGTAGATTTGACTCTCCGACAATGAAATTTCAAATATTTTGCATTGTTTGAGCTATTTTTCTGTTAACATTGAACATTTCCTCACAAACTCCGGTATGCCTTTGTAATATAAGCAATAATGTGATTGGTGGGAAGTAAACCAATTAGGTCAAATGTTACAATTAAAACAACATCTTTTTTGCGCTTTTTTTTTTCCAAAAAATGACTTCATGTGCCCTGCATTATGATGTCATCTATCACCCACTCCCCATCAATTCTCAATATTTGAAGACGTGGGGGGTTGACAGCCCTGTTCCAATGACAAATTATATTTCCATTCGGGTCAAGTTTTTGTGGTCCAGTCCAATACAAAATTAAATATAAGCTTAAATTTTCAAAAGCTGTTCAGGATTTATAACTTCTCACCTGAGACAAAACACAATCCATAGTATTCCTGGTGCCTTCCGATGGATTCCAAACATCCTTTTCCTCCACCAGAAGAGCATCAAGTGTTGCCTTCTCAACAACAACATCAAATGAACATGGAGCAAAGGACATGTTAGTGATATCCATTACCATCCAATCCATGTCAACCAAGCGTTGGCATTTCCTCTTCATATTATTTATAACTATTGACGAAAAGTCGATATTGACAATATTCCTATATCCATCATTATACATATCTTCGCTGAGCATACTGTTACCGCATCCTAACATCAATATGCGATCGCTTTTTCTCACGTGCTTGCATAGCAAATCTTTAAAATTACCATAGCTTTTGCACCACTCAAATGTTTCTTCTTTTGAAAAACGCGTGTCCCAGTACTCTTTTAGCTTGTAGCTTGAATTTTCCTTTGGTAAATCCATCATATTAAAAGCGCAAAGGATTAAAGGATTCAAATAAAGTTTTTAAACAAAACTTTCCGACTGGCCGCCATTTTTACTTTCTGCCTTTTCGCGAATTACCGCTGGCTACGCCAACTGCTCCGTTCGAACAAAAAAACAACGCGAAAGGCGTCCACTGGGCTAGCTTGGGCTGAAATAGAAATAAGTTCCTATGCAAACCCTCTCGACACTAAGGTCGTTTAGCACTTACAAGCAGTTTCCAGAAAATCTGGTTGGGGAGTAAATGTAACATGAAACATGAATTCTACGGTAAATTCGCAATTAGAACTCTTAGATTAACTCAAATTATGTGGAAACAGAATTTGAGTTCAATGTGTTATTACTTAATACTGAAGCTCTTTGGAACGGTTTTTTACGTCTGCTTATTTTAACTTAACTTACACTTTAACTTTATTATTCCATCGCTCATAAAGTACAAACTCAGTAAAGCCAAAGCCGGGGGCTTATACGGCCTGTGGTCAGAATAACAGAAATTATTTTATATAGAAATGAAGACTGTAGGCTAAACTACAAAACTAAAATAAGGTACCAAACTGAAATTAAATAAGTTTACATGCATGCAGTCCTATAACAGTCCATAACTAGTGACAAATAAACTAACAATAAACTATGAGAATCCTGCGCTAGTTCAATTTAGGCTTAAAAAGTGAAGTTTTAGTTTCTTTTTGAAGTTAGTAGTGGTAAGGCTGATTTTCTTCAGACTGTTCAGGTGCCGTTTTCGTTCTACCCAGGTTATTCTTTCCGCTTTCCCCTTAACAAACCACCAGGCACGTAATGAACAGATCAATCACTGTCGATTATATTTTACTTTTTATTGATTAATTCAACGCTCATGCAGGCAAATAACAATACTCTAGACTACTTAGGCAGGGGCACCCAACGACAATTTCGGAAGAATATCTGTTCGGAAGACGATTTTAGATCTAGAATTTTCGAAACATTTGTTGTAAAATTTCTTGCTTGCCTGCCTCTGCTACGATTTTCGAACATCCAAAAAATGGTATATTTGCCTATTTTTAACAGATTTTTACCCTAAAAAGGTCACCTAAAATTTTCGGAAGCCTTTCTTCTGGCTGAAATTTTCGAAAAGGTAAGTTTTGATCCCTATAATTTTTGGATCACTAGACTTTCAGCTAGGAAATCCGAACAGATGAAAATTTTTTAGGGGATAAAAAGATGCCTATATCTACCGTTTAAATACTAAAATACGTTTAACAATGCTATGTTTAAGTGGTTTTGAACTATATTCTAGTTGGGTGCCCCTGCATAGGCGGAGCTTTGATAACGTGCGCCTTTACTGGCGGACCTAGCTCTTTTCGCTTCATTTTGTCTCAAAACCACTGGAATTAACCTGTTGACAAGGAAATACTATTGGAGATAAAGATGGGTAACAAAATAACTCCTATACTGCAACCTACGTTTGACCAAGTAAGGTAAAGATATAATAGCGCTTAAAAGGACAGCAAGTCTCTAAATTGTGGTGGCCATGGCTAATTCATCATCTATACTAGGTTCATGATGTTACAAACAAACCATCCTCTGTTTCTGTTGTTGAAAAAGTTTGACCGGTCTCAAACTCTGCGCAACAACACGCAACAACATGCAACAACTACCCAACTCTTGAGGAAGAAAAGAGCTGCATGATATGGAACAAAACAACGGGCCTCCACAAAGGTACAAAAGCTCCTGACGACGGTCGACCATCGCTCCTCGCTCCAAAGATGTATTGTTGCTCAGTCGGAGTAATAGTTGCATTGTATCATAGGTGTACTTGTACTCAGTAAAAACAGGAATAGAGAAGATTGAAACGAAGGACTTCAGAGCAGTGGAGTTGCGCTAGAACGTGTTTAAGGCCTCCTTTCCACCATTTTTTTTTAGATACTGGACCCTAAATGCGGATGCAGGAGGGAACAACATTTCGCGGGAAGGTATAACCTTAAAAAAGCCCAAATTGTGAATTCGATGTTGCCCTAATCAATGGGAGTTGGAGGCTCCTGGGTTATAGGCTCCTGGCCAGTTGATGTAATAACAATTGCAACATATCAATGCAAGGCTTTGTTTGGGTTATTTTCTTTAAACAGCAAAAAAAACCTTTTGTTATCCAGCTCAGTTAGGAAACTGCGGATTGATGGTTTCATTTTTTCAGCTCCAAAGGACTCAGATAATCACTGGTCACCTCGACGCTACTCACTGAAGCTCATATATCGTTCGTATCTATGTATGGTCTTGCTCCTCTGCTGATGAGTATTTACAACAGCTATTCAGGCTATTAAAAGGTCGGGCGAAGATTGTATGTTAACGAACGTTTTCGTTCAGTTAAGCTAACTTTATCTTATAAAAAAAATAACACTGAAATGTGCCTGACACAATATGGAGGCTTTCCATGCTTGACGTAATGCGTAGAAATATGAAGTCAAAATTGAATAGAAATAAAAAAAAAAAATTAAGCATCTTGTTAAAAGGTCGTTATATCTAGGTCAGAGCATCATCATTTGTGTTCTATGATGGGTACTAGGTTTTTAAAGAAAAACTTCATTTCACCTTTGTTTTGAATTGCTAAACGAGGGTGTTTGTTGTGCTAATCAGTGGCCTTTTTAAAGCAATTGTAAGGTAAGAGTCTGAGTATTCATTTACAGCGAAACTGATTATATGCGAGAACTGAAAGCTCTATTATAGTAGAGTTCATGGTCAAATTCATTTGGCAGAACAACTTGCCAAGGGGCTTCATGGCACTTTAAAAATGACCCCTGGAGAGCTGGATTTTTGGTGCTCAAAGGGCAAAAACTATTTTATCGCTAAAAAATAAATCTTAAAAGGAAGAAAGCAATACCTTTTTTGACAGTTATTATTATTCATTCAAAATGTTTTGCCGTTTCTGATTGGCTCCAATTTCCCGGCTAATTCTTCATAACCAGCTGGCGCTTACCACATTTGGAGGATGCGAGCAATATACCATCGATTCCATGGTAATTTGATTTTAATTGGAAAAGAGGCTGCTTGTACAACTGTGAACTGAAAAATGGCGTTCACAGCTATTTTAAGACAAAATGGCTGAATTTCTGACTTAATGCGAAATACGCTAAACATATTGCTTGATGGATGTTATCTAATTTTTGAGGAGTATTTACAAGGTAAACCATCTGTTGATATCCTAAAAAGGTGCCGTGAAGAAAATCTACGAGGAGGTAAGCATATGTTAAGAATTTAGAAATATTTTGAATGAAGATATAATAAAATAATTAATGAATTCGGCTATTGTACGATGTGAAGAATTATGCAGATCTCAGAGGATGTTATCCACCATGATCTGCACAATTCTTTACATCCTACTCAGTCTCATTCAATAATTGTTATGAGGCTGAAAATAAACAGCCAAGATGTCGCGCCTGGAAAAGAGGTTGATCGATGGCATATTTTTCTGAAAACGAGGCTGCTTAGACAACATATCATCGAACCGCGTCTAACAAATATGGTAAGCGCCAGTTGGTTATGAAGAATTAGCCGAGGAATTGGAGCCATTAAAAAAAAGGGGAAATATTTTGAGTGAATAATAATTTGGATAATGACATGGTTAACAAATTACACGTTAATTTTGGAGCAAAATTTAAGCATTAATTTATGATTTTACAAGTGAAATTACAAACTGAGATTGCTATTAACGTTCCGTATGTCTCAGAGCCAAGAAGGCGTCAAGGTTTTAAAATGTTATGAATAAAGATGTCAGGGCATTAAAAGACGCTTTCGGAAAAAAACACAAGAAGAAGAACGTCAAGAAAGATTACAACAGGTATTCTGAAGAAAATTTCAGAAATTGGGAATTTAAGCCAAAATTTATGCTCAAAACGTTTCAGTGTGTGTGAAATTCTCGATACGATAAACAAGTCAAAATCAAAAGTCATTGATAAATAGTAAACTTGCGAAATTAGGGAATAATGTAAATTGCCTTTTGTCAAAATTCTAATAATAATTCTATTTTTAATTTTTTTTTTTAGGCTCGTAAACTCGCATTTTTGAGAGCGGGGCTTCATGTTACTTTTCACATCATATTACGATGATATAGCAACCGTCTGCCACCTTACTTTGTAAGAACCCTTCCTACTTCTCCCCTTTAACATAAAAGGTGCACAATGGTCAAAAACAGCTGATTAAAACTGTATATTTATTGGTGAATTTAACACTGACAAATTATACAGCCGCACTTAATGATGAGGACTTTGATAAGCAGCCAGGGCCAATGCACCTACTTCTCTTCAGTTTTATTCTGTCGAAACCTCTGGAATCAACCTGTACATAAGAAAAAAATTAAAGGCAAAGTTGTGTAGACAGTACGTGTACAGTGAAAGCTATATTAAGTGGACACCTTCGAGACCTTCCCAAGTGTCCGTTTAATATAGGGTGTCCGCTTAATAGAGGTTTTTACTTTCAACGTTTACCCTGTACTATGATAAAGTTCCGTGTTGTTGAGGAAACTAAGGATGCTTTGCAGTGTACTTTGTGCAAGACTTCCAGTCTAATCGACAGTTTGTTGACAGCTAAATGTATTGATTTATCTTTATTAATCGACTACAGTACCTATTTTAAGGACGTAATCCACTAATGCTATTGTGAATTCAGTCCAGTGTCCGCTTTATAATAGAGGTTAATAACAATAGAAATTAGCCAAACACAATTTATTTTGGTGTCCGCACCCGCTTAACAGAGGTGTCCGCTGAAGAGGGGTTCTTTATAAAGGGAAATATAAAACGTTAATTTCGGGACCCGACTTAGTGTCCGCCCAATAAAGGGTGTCTACTTAATTGGGGGTCCGCTTAATAGAGGTTTGTATTTAAATTCCAAGCCTGCTCGCCATTAGAGTTCCAGTAGCTCAGTGGGTAGAGCGCCCGAACTGGAACTCGGATGGCCGTGAGTTACACTATTTATCTCAATTCGTTGTGACCAGGGCTAGTGCTTCAAAAGTCTTATACGAGTCTATTTTCGGTGCCAATTAATCGTTTAAATTAATTTACTCAGATGACTGTACGACTGTTCGAGAAGATTATATGGATTCTTCTGGTCCAATGCAGTGCGATCCTGACGACTAAGGGTTGATTTCCACTGTCGCGTAATTTTTACTTCCGTAAATAAAATAGACGCGATGTATGAAAAGCCGCGCGCAGACGTAAAAGTTGCGCCAGGTTCGACTGTAACGTTTACACGACCTTCCATATATTACCCCTATTTTACTTACGCGAGTAAAATTTACCTGCGTACAAAATTACTCGACAGAGGAAATCCACCCTAAGAAATCGAAATTGCTTGAATAGAACTGAAATCTTTTGTTTAGGCCGGTTTCATTATAATCGTCGGCCTTCTATTTAACTTTCCAATACTGTCTCAAAAAATCGAGGCGCTTCTATTTATATGCCAAACTAGGCTCTAACATTTACCTTTGACTCCAAGAGAAACAGACATGTCATTCTTCAAGCATAAATGGGGGGAAGTCTTGCAAAAAGGTGGAAGATACGGTGACATTAACAACTGGTAGAAGTTGTTCTTTATTGTGTCCTGGACGTTAGGCGCATCTCCATCAAAGTAGAAATATGGAAAGTTCTTCATCTGAGAATTTACATCAACTGCAACAAGGTTTTAGAAAAAGGCAAAAGTAAGGAAAAATCAGCATGAAAAGAACGTTATCATTTATATGAGCGGTTCAATAAACGGGTTGCATTGGGTATTGGCAATTGCGTACTGCGAACCAATTGTTTGGCAGTCACTCAGGCAGATCATTGCAGTGAGTTCCGTATACCTAATTGCCCAATTACCGATGACCACGTCAAAGCAATCTTTATTGAATTACGTACATACAGTAGGGAGCTTTTGGTTGTGTTGACGCTATACCATAGCTTTTGTGCCGGCACGAAATCCATATACCGGTTAGGGCTCCTGTTTACTCAGAATGGTGATTTCGGCGGATTTCTCAGTGTAACTGATGGAAGCTGCGCCGTGGGGATCTCTAAAGTGAAGAGTCTCATATCGGGTAGGTGTTCATACTTTAACAGATAACTTTTCGTGTCGGTACGAAAAGCTATATGGTATAGTGTCAACGTGACCTAAGGTCCGACGACGGCGGCGAAAGCGTCGGCTAAAAGGCGATGTCGCTTTCTTTCAATCGGCCGTCGCGATTATTCCTGTTGTAGTTAATTTGTTTTCTCAGGTAACTTTTTATTTTGCTTTTGTTCCACCTTCATCAACATACATTACCACACCCAAAAACAAAAGAAAAACAAAATCACCTGAGACAAAAAAAATTGACTACAACGTTCCAACTCACTTCGTTGAATGTATCCGAACTCTCCTGGAGCTGAATTCATAAGAACAATATCCAAGTTCACAAGAAAAAGAAAATTCATCGTCGCTCGCTTCCTCCATAGAAGGTAAAATCAGGCACTTTTACGTCGTAGTCGTACAGTGACAGCAAAGAAATGCACAAAATTAAAAAGCGTAATGCAAGTGCGGAGTTGTTGTTTGCTTTTAAACCTATTGCTTTACGCCCCGTCCACACGTATCCGGAGATTTTTGTATCCGCAAATTTTTTTATGCGGATACACCTAGCGTCCACACGTGTCCGCCGTATACGCTCGGTGTATCCGGAGATTTCTGTATACGCTCTCCAGAGTGGAAATTTCTGTATACGCTGTGTATCCGGATACGTGTGGACGCTCGTATCCCGTGTATTTTTGTATACGCTGACGTCACAGTAGTGACAGTCTTTGTAATGCGCATGCTCTGTTGACTAATCCTTCGAGATGTCCGGATACGAATCGGATACGTGTGGACGGTCGTATACGATTCGTATACGCTACGTGTGGACGCAGATATTTTTGTATCCGCATAAAAAAAATTTGCGGATACAAAAATCTTCGGATACATGTGGACGGGGCCTTATTGACGTTCCCGTTGCCGTCGCCGTCGGCGCAATCTGATCGTCCCAATCTGATTTAATTTATTATTTTAAAGAACGGTCACCTGGTTGTTTGACCCATCTACATGGGCAAACCGATCTGGTTCACCGTTTGGGTAAACCAGTTAAAGCAAATGTCAGGACTGATACAGTATTTCGTCCCGGAATTCGCATTTACCATCTGCACAAATCACTTCCATTTGCCAAAACATAGCCGCAGAAGCCTGAAACTGGTATCAAAGATGGCATCAAAGGAATTGGTAATAAATTTCCGTTCGGAACATTCTGATCAGCAAGATCGGACTACCTTTGAAGTAATTCCGGTTTCTCCGGAAAATTTTCCGCTGAAATGACTAGGAAAGTCTTGTTCGTTTACATTTTAGTCGGATTCTCTGGAAAATTTTTGTAAATGGCAAAGAATCGATATTTTAAAGTCAGCTGGTTATTTCAGGTTACAATACCGTTTTCTAGTTATATTGTATGTACAGTGTATTATGTAAACGTTGGTAAACAAGTAGGAGTGTTTTATACACATCATTCCAAAATGGCTGGTACTTTTCTTTAATACTTCTGTTACGTGTAATCAATCCCTTGTGCTTCGATTGCATCTGCAGAATTGAAAATGAATTTTACCTTTAAACAAGCGTTCAATCATAAAGACGAAATAAGAGCAAAATTTGACGCCATTTTCACATTTTTTGAGGTTTAAAGTTTGAGTGTCTTGACAAGAATCTGCACTGTTTTGCTGTTGAGTATAAAAACATATAAGGCTGACTAAAACGGGACACTCTGTTTGGCTTAATAAATAGCCTTGTAAATAATAAATGGAACTTTAAAGGCTATTTGTTATCTTTTTAAAAAGCTAAGAAGTGTCTTCACATCAATTTAATTCCAAAAATAATATGTAATGGTCTAGTTTTGTTATTTAAGACTATATTCAAGCATTGCATGAAACTGTTTCCTGTAGTCTGTTGGAACAGACGGTAAGTTGAAAAAGTTGACCTAAAAATCACCAAAACATTTATAACGGTTAGTGCTCCCTGAGGAAACTTGTTTCATATCGCCTCCATTACTCTTAAGGAGCATTTTGTGCATAGACGTACGGACAATGTTTTGCCGGGGGGGTGGGGCGGGGGGGGCAGTAAACCATTTGTCCAAAAAATTCTTGCAAGTTGCCCAATTTTTTACAAAAAGGTCGAAAAGAAACGAGGGCCATACGATGCAACAACATAGGTCGTACTGGCATGTGGAAAGTGGCTTGATACAGTTTTTCAGGGTCAATACCTGCCAAGTTTAAGCATAAACTACGTCGCCAAAAACAAACATTTGGAAACATTGCCACCACAGTCGTGTTACAGAGATAAAAATGAAAAAAAAAAATTAGACGAAAATTTGTCATGATCAGGGTTGCAATGACATCGAAGTTGTCATAGCAACGAGATGACGCCATTACCTATTATACTTGCAGCAATATTTCTTACTGGGAACTGTTCTTACAAAATAGTTCACGGGAACTTTTTCCTCCAGTAGTCGCCTTGATGTTCGTGAAGTTAAAACGAAATATGTAAGAGCGTTATGGAGATATTTTGGAATGACGTTTTTATCGTTAGAAATACGGTAAAAAGAGGAAAATCTTGATGTTTGGCCGTTATCTGAAGAAAACGAAGAGCTTTGACACACAATTTCACCTCACAGTAGTTTCAATCTTTTTAAAAACTTTGTGTGAAAGGTCAAGGAGAAAGCTCCTGACCAATTGCTACAAAGAAGGATGATTAGTATGTATCATGGCGCTTTTGTTAGCGATTTTGTAATCATTTCGGTTTACTTCAACAAATTAGTGAATAATTTTTAAACCGCTCGATAGATTTTTTTAAAAAAACTAAGATTCTTCTCGTAATTTAAGTTGAGAATTAGTCAGCCACTTCTTCACTTTCAGACCCATTGCTGAAGTTATCTTCCATACACTGTTCTACGAGCGGAGGTGATTCTAGAAAGTTATGCCGAAGTTTACTGTAATCAATTCACGACTGGAAATAGCCCATTTTAGCTAGTGCAGTGCAGTATACAGTGCCCAACAATAAAAAAATCAGCATGTGATACCCTTCCCTTATAACCAGAAAACTCATCACGTGCTAGGCAACCGCTCTCTCGTGTGAATGTAACTGGATTATTACGCAGACTTCAGGTTAAAATGGAAAAAAATTACTTCTTCAAAATAATAATAAAATAAACATGGAAACGTCTTTAAAAGCTGGCTTTGCCGAAATTTTCTCTTGCTGCCCAAAAAATCTCAGTTGCCGAAAATTTGGGGGGCCCCCGGCCCGTATGCTTATGATTTTGTGTATGATTTTTTGTTTTTTACATGGCACTGGCTACACTGGACTGGAGTGACGTCTTCAACGCGGTAGACATCAACAAGGCGGTCGAGGTGCTTGAGGAAAAGATTCTTGCAGTGATGGATAAGTGCATGCCGCAAAAATCCGTCCGCATGTCATCGCGTGACCCAGTTTGGATGTCCCCATTAGTCAAGTGTATGCTGAGGACTAAGTCCCGTATATCATTAAACAACAAGGAACGCCTGTCTTTATTTAACAAGCGCATTTCTGAGGTGATAACCGAGAACAGAAGAAAACCGGCTGTCATTGGTAGCGGTGATTGGTGGAAGGGCGTGGACGCCCTATCGCAGCGTCGCAGGTCATCGTCGATAAATTTGGACAACAACTCTCTCGTTCGTCTGAACGACTACTTCGCCAACTGCGCTATGATGACAGCTGCGTCAGACCTATTGATATGGATATCCCGGACAGTGTAAAGCCCCCGGAAATATCTGAGCGGTGTGTGTGGAACACTTTAGTTCATGTAAAGAAAACGGCAACAGGACCAGATAACCTCCCGTGCTGGATCTGGAAAGACTGTGCTGAGCTACTCACACCTGTTGTTACTCACGTTTGGAATTTGTTGCTGTCTACTCATACATGGCCGGACTCTTGGAAGAGGGCAAATGTTAATCCTCTCCCCAAAGTGGACATGCCTGTAGAGGACTCAGACCACCGTGGTATCAATGTTACTCCCGTTATTGCACGGTTGTTTGAGAAGGTGGTGCATCGTACGCAAGCACAGTCAGTCATTGAGAATAATCTGAGCCACACCCAATTTGCATATATACAGGCGGGTAATTGCACAAACGCTTTGCTCACTATCCAGCACCAGACATACAAGTATTTAGACAGTAGTGACTGTAGCGCAGTGCGAATTTTTACTATGGACTTCAGTAAGGCCTTCGATTTTGTGAACCATACTATTTTGTCTGCCAAACTGAAACAGCTACCCCTAAATCCGTACATTATCAGTTGGTATCAGCGTTTCCTCTATGCAAGACAACAACGTGTTGTTAGCTATAATTTTTTAGGACATTCGAAATCTGTCAATAGAGGAACCACGCAAGGTAGCGTAAGCGGACCGTATCTTTTTAATATATTTTTGAATGACTTGGAGATTTTCTTTAATGGTTGCCCTGTTCTTTTTAAATATGCCGATGATTCCACTATTCTTTCGCCTATCACTATACGAACCGCGACCCGTCTGCCGACTTAGTAGGACAGTTCTTAACCTGGTGTAAAGACAATAAAATGGTCTGCAACCCTTGTAAAAGTAAAGAGCTGGTTGTTAGAAAGAAAAATCACAATGTACTCTACTCTCCAATTAATAATATTCCTCAATGTAACAGCATCGTTTTACTAGGAGTAACTCTACAGAGTGACGGGAAATTTAATGAGCATGTAAGAACGAAGCTTGTCAAAGCAAACAAGTGTTTACACGTCCCACGAACACTAAGAAAGGAACACTACTCTCAGGAAGAGATAGATCACCTTTTTATATCTATTGTTTTACCTAATTTTAGCTATGCGCTTGCAGTCTATGGGGCATCGGAGTCCGATCTTACGGTTATACAAAATTTTTTAGACCGATGCCATAAACGCCGTTTTATTTCATTTTCAGTTTTTATCAAGAACCTTTTAAATAAAAATTTTAAAGAAATTAATATCAACGGATTGCCACCCCCTGAAAGATATCATTCCTGTCCAGAAGACTTATGTACATAATCTTAGGAAAAAAGGCTGCGCACGCTTGAAAATTAATACACAGCGTTTTATGAACACCTTTGTAAATAGGTTGATATTTAAGCTCCATTTATTGTAATGACATACTTTTTTAATATATATATAATATATATATATATATATATATATATGTAGATATTTTTATCATACTTTTTTATCTTCCGTATTATTGTAACATGAGATATGTAGTTTTATCTTTTGATGAAATAAAGACTCATTATTATTGTTATTATTATTATTATTGAAGGCACCAAGTAATGACCTCACCGCAAAATAAATTCTTGACATTGCCATTTTATTTAAGGGTCAAACAAACAAATATATTACGAACATTTAGAGACTTACCAGCACAGTTTGGCCCGGGAGTACCTCTTTTAAAAGGATGGAAAAACGAAAAACTTTCCCACACTCCACTCGAACAGTAATACAGAAACGGTGGGTTAGATTCAAAATCAGTACCAGTGCGACACATGACTGCGCAAGGTGTATTATCATCTTTCGTTGCACACACCAGGGCACCGTTACGAGGAGGAGTAAAAGGAGTACACCGTTTTCCTGTGAAGGCAAGAGGAACAACAGAACTTGTATCCCTCTGGACGTTTAACAGTATGGTTTGCAAAAATAAAATGGATTTTAGGTAGATATACGAATAATTGTATTATTAAACTTACGACCTGGTCACTGATTTTGAAACAATTGACCTGGCTATTGCCATTTTTCTTTAAGAAAATCGTAGAAAACTGTTTTTAGATTCTTTGGAAATGATGAGGTCTACAACAATAAGGACACGTAAACTTCATCATTTCTTAACAATTTTGGTATTTGAAAGAATAAATTCTGGTTTCAAAATCTCGGATTTTAGTCTTGTAGCTTCTTGTAGCTTTTCAGTAATAACGCTCAGTGTTGTCACGTGAATTAGTCACGTGACAACAAATGATTAAAAATTGCGGGAATTTCTTAGCCCCCATCTCTGTCTAGGACTGGGCGCTACCGTCTGATATGGATGACTTCCTTGATTTTTCTTTTAATGTCCAACGTCTTTTGGTCAAGGATCTTACCCCCTCCCCTCCCCCCAGCTGATTTCAGGGTTGGCTTTGGACTGGTGTTCCCAGACTGCGCATCTGCGGATCTGCCGATCTGCGGATGTTGTTTGTTTTTAATGTTCGCCCAATCTCCTCCGTAGAGCCCTAGCTGTCTCCCCTATGCTGATGAAGACTGTGCGATACAGTGGAAAGCTACAAGACTAAAATCTGACGCTTTGAGACCAGAGTTTTTTCTCCACCAAAAGTAAACCTTGATGTATTCTTCATGCTTTAACATTTAATTGTGGTCACGTGACATTTCATGCGATCAAAAATTTAAAATGAAGGAAATTAGCTAGTTTGCGTGTTTACTTTGTTTGGGTAAATAAATTGACGTTTCTGATAGAGGGTAAACATAGACGAAGCCTGCCAAAACACGTCTTGTTAACAATATAAAATTATTAAGTTTCAAAATTATCCCTCTGTTTCAGCTTGCAAGACCCAAGCTCGCTGGTGTAAAATACTAAGCAAGCAAGAAATGTCCGCACCTGTTAAAAGCTTTCAATCAAATATTAGTAATTCATAAAAATGTTTTCATTTGATAGTAACTTACTTTTCAATGTTATTTTGAAAGTGCAGTTTTCGTTCTTGTTGTCGGATTCATCCGATGCGGTATATACAACATAATAGACACCAGGAACAGGAAGGCTAGTTCCACTTTGTATGTTTGAAACAGCAGAGACAACCTGGCCCGAATTATCGGAGAACACTGGCTCCGCCCAGCTCACTCTTGCATGAATGTTTTTCTCTTCACGCACAATGTCCCCCGGGCATTGGCTAAACGTGGGTGGTTCAGTATCTACGATTAAATACAATTGAAAAACAAATTATAACAGAGGTGACGGTTCCTAACAAGTTTTTCGGGACACGGGATTTCCCCTATTTGAAGCTCGGGATTCGGGATTTTAAAACATAATCGGGACGAGATTCGGGATCGAAAGTATGCGTGGAAAGTGGAATGCCAAAAATAACTCGCGGGATTACGGGATTGCACAAAGTTCTGGGACGGGATTACGGTATTGAAGAATCCTATAGGGGATTGGTGATTTCCTTTTCCTAAAAGCATTCTTCAGATTATCGATTAAGTAGATATGAAGTTCCCTTCACCTTCAGGAAAGTACATAAAAATAAAAGTACTTGATTTCAGCTGATGCAGAACTGATGTCAGAGTGCTCAATAGAAGAACAAGAGCGAGAAGGCCAGAAGAACAATGTTTTTTCAACTGAAGATTTGACTAGGCATTTATTACTATATAGTTTCGTACTAAACGATGGTGTAGCACTCTTCAGATAAAATTGCCTAAAAAGTAGATTACAACAGTACGCTGATTATAATGCGGTTACTACGCGGATACAACGCTGTTTCTATGGGTTCTTTATGTAACAGAAGAGGACTTGAAATTTGTCACCAGAAATTTGCTAGCGTGGCTAAATGCGACTTACAGATTCGAAAATATTTCTCCCACAGACATAAATTACACGGTTTGGAAGAGGGGTTATAGGCGATAGCCTGCTTCAAAATCTTCCAGGTGATTCGAAAGTTAAAAAGACAAAAGTGATTATAGAAGATCTAAAATCGCTAAGGCCGATAAATATTGATAATAAATCAAAACAGTCATATACCTTTTTCCAGGATGGTGGCAATTATAGTATTCATTTGTCATGTTATAATTAAATAGACGATTTTACAGTTTTGTACTTAGTCCGTTGAATGGAAGCGAGGTACGATTGTTACACTGACTCAGGATAAAGCAAAATGTTGAGCCTTTACTCGGAAATTCAATACTGAAGGCACAAAATGCGACTCACAATTAGGGAATACATAAAAAGGTAAAATACAAAAAGGGAACAAAAATTTGAGCCTTGATTTGTGCTAATCGGCCTTTCCGAAACCAGGCCCTGAAGTTGACCTTGTTCTGTTACATACCTTTCTGTTTTTCACATAAAAATGATACTTGTTGTATAAGAATAACACGATTTTTCCACATTCCATATTTCAAAATTCTAACATGACTCCACTCCAAGGCTTTCTGGTCATAATTTTATATTTGGTTTGTTGGGTGTGCCCAAGTCTCTTCTGGAAATGGCGAGACAATAGAATCGTGAAAAATTTGCAATTTTGATCCAAAAGCCTCGGAGTCGTGTTGGAATTTTGATATATCGAACGTGAGCTATTGAATACTAAATATTATACCCTGAAGTAAATATAGGTCTCTTTAACTATAAATATTAACCTCTGATGTCAACGGGAAACCTGCAAGACGCGACATTTCCGGCGCAATCACTAGCAGTAACAAAAACTTCAGTCACACCAAGAGGAAGTTCTTGTGAAGGTTGATGACTTGAGGTCACATTGATCTTTGCATTGGGATTCACAATAACAGAGTTGTCTGTCACGTGGATTTTCCACGACACCTTACCAGTCGCCTTCCCTTTGGTTGTTTCAGCTGTTAAGAGAGCTTGAGGACACGTTAACGTTGGGGGCTGACGATCTATAGATTAGAAATACAGTCAAACCAGGCCAGTTAATACGGAAACTGAGGGGGTCATAGAAAGTGTCCGTGTTAAGCGGGTAGTCAAACTGTCCATAATAGCAGGTGTCCGTAAAGCGGTTTTTGACTGTATAAGGCCACAACAATGTTAAGCAAAGAAAATGTTAATTCGTACTACTGTACGCAAACGAAAGGAAGATTAAAGGAGCTGTGTGACGAAATTCAGCCAAATTAGGAAATTACAAAATGCCCGTTAAATTAAGAGAAACATAAAAATGACCGCTGACAACTTTAAAGGAAGGTTAAAATAACACAACAGAAACAACAGATGCCACGGATGGGCAAAACTGAAGAAGATTGAAGCGGATTGAAATTAGGGTTTTTGAAAACTGTTCAGCCTGACAGTTTCAACCTCGTAGCCAGGGCTTTTCCCTTAAAAAATGAGTGGGGCGGGAAAATGCCCTGGCATCGGCTGGTCAGTAATAAATTAGCGTTATGTGAAAAGCTAAAATTATGCATAACCGCACAGCGTGCGATCTAAATAGAGCAGTCATTTCCAATACTGCCGCACTGTTACGGACCGTTAAGAGCAGTTAACGGACCGTACGTTCTGCACAAACCGTCACTATTACTAACGGTCCGTATGCTGAGCACATACGGAGCGTGCATCTCAGCATTACATGAGGGCACAATGCGTTACGGTTCGTTCGATCCGTAGGGTCCGTGGACATACGGAGCGTGCATCTCATTATTACATCAGGGCACAATGCGATACGGTTCGTTCGATCCGTACGATCCGCACGGCACAAGCGCAAAAACCAAGAAAGGCGCACTCCAAATGTAATATTCCTCGTTCTATAAATCATAAACCAACACAAGCGCAAAAATTTATATAATGATATATAATTTTCTCTGTTATTTTTAAGAGCATCGAATCATCAACTTGTTCACAAAATGAATTACATTGAATTTACTGTTTTAAAAGCTTTCACATCTGAATTCAAACTTCGCACTAACCCTGTCAAAGCCTTCAATGGAACGTGTGTGCGGCTCACCGCCACGTCAATAACCTTTCCAGTAATTTGGTCGAGCGTGTTGATTTCAGTGACTTGAGAGCGGCGCTACTGTGGTCTGGTTTATAAGTTTTTCCTAATAAATAACATAGAGTTAAAGTGTTCGTTTGTCCGGTGCCGAAAATATCACAAGTCATGATCAAATGGCGCCGCCGAGCTTCATTCACATCTCGGCAGCTTTACTTTGTGACACGACGGACGCCGAACTAAACCCGATTTGATGCATGCACCAGGAGTCGCAGACATTTTCAGATTTCCTTTTTGTCACAGACACTGGCTATGGTGTTTTTTTACTTTCCTTCGATTTCTATGAAGGGGACAGCGAGTAACATTTATAACAATGTTTATAGAACGATATAAGTACATATAGATGACATATAAATGACAAACAAGCTATCGTACATGCATAAAGTTTGTACTGGAAAAGTCCGTTTTCGCGACTCTTCTGATAATTGATTTCATTTCTCGCGGAGTGGACCGCCGTACACAGCCTAGTTCTATTTACCTTAACTCTCAGCCATATCATAGCGACATGCGTTAGTTTAGACTTATCTTGTATGACCTGTATTTTTAAAACATGCATTGACCTCTGCGATCAAACGCCTGGCAACAAAGAAAGACTTGGGTCCATTTAAAATTTACAGAACTGAAGTTGATTCTAGTCGATCGGTCAATCTTCCCTTTAATATAAGGAAAATCCTTCGTACTTATCCTCGGAAGAGAAAAGATATAAGAGGTCTTCAAATGTTTCAGATCGGCGACCTGTCATCATTCCTGGCTGTTGTTTCATGGTCGGGTTGTAGAGAAGACCAGACTCTATAAAGCATTTGATGAACAATTCTATTTCAATTAGGCTCAATTTGTTTAAATTCACTGTAGATCCTGGAGGCAAAGGCCCCCATTTTTGTTTGACATTGGACAAAATCACTTTCCGCTTGATCGTACAGTAATTCCACAGTCACGATGAATTTCTGAAGTACCACTCGATAACAGCTTGTCTCAACTCTGAAGCATTTGACATATTTTGTACGTGACAACGTAGAGCCGGTATGCTCTTTCATAAACTTGTAGTATTTGAATAATACGCAATTAAATGCATCTTAAGCTTTCGAATCGCACACACGCGAAAATATTGACATAGTTCGCGACGTTATTATTTTGAAGTTGATTCTATTTCAAAACATTTCGAGCTGAATAATAAATCTCTTCTGGGTCGGTTTTACATAAGGACCGGAAGGCCATCAATAGCCTCACAATTATTTGTCATTCCGTCTCTGTTTTCCTAGCAAATGTTTGAAAGATAGCTCCCCGGAGCGCCGAAAAAAACCCGAGAAATCCGACAAAATTTGATTCGCTGAGTAAACTAGTCTGACAATTAAGTTTTTACTTTGGACCAATCAGCAACAACGTTGCATAAAGCGCGCTAAACTGGACTTGCAAAGGAGTCACGTTAACCAGTCACGCATTCTCGTTTTACGTATTGACTGAGTTCTATTTTAAAACATTTCGAGCAGAATAATAAATCTCTTATTGGACGGTGTCAGTATGTAGTATCGTGGGATATTTTGACTCACCCTACGAGCTCGCTTAAATACGGCGTGACTCGTAAAAATATCACACGGCACTACACACTAAACCGTCCAATAAGATAATTATATAAATTTACTGATACGAAAGGTTATGAAGATGGAATCTGACCACCTCGGTTGATAAAAACGTTAAACCTGCCTCTCTTCTAGGCGTCTCAAATGTTTGGTAGGAAAAACGACTGCGAGCGATCAAGGAGTTAATCGCGCAATGGATCATGAGAACGTTAAGCGTTCGCGCAAACGACGCGGTGAGGGGATCATCCGAACCCTTGCGCTGAACCAAAATCGCTAGAGTCGCTCTTGATCGATTACGAATTCGCCAGATCGCGCCTGGTTTTCATTATATTATATGTATTCTAGAAGACAATAATAATAATAATAATCTTTAATACTTATAGAGCGCATAACTCTATATGAATATAATCTTATGCGCTAAATTTACAGCAATGTAAAATATAAATATATAAAAAATGAAATACAACAAGAATATAAGTACAAAAATAAATACAAATGTAAGAATATATACAAATAATTGTGCTGACTAGTATAATAAAAGAAATTAAAATTAAAATAAAAGTAAAAGTCAATTATAAGCTGTTTTGAACAGAAAAGTTTTTAACAGAGATTTAAATTTCTTAAAATCTTGTTCCTTACGAATACTCTCTGGTAAATTGTTCCATACTGTCGGGGCTGCTACACAGAATGCCCGATCTCGTAGTGTTTTCCTAGTCTTAATTGTTGGGAAAGTTAGAAACAGTCCATTGTTGGAGCGAAGGTTATATTGAGTGTTAGATCTAATATTTATAAGTTCTCTTAAATACTCTGGTGATTGTCCATAAATTGATTTGAAAGTAAGTATGGCTATCTTGAATAGTACTCTATATTTGACAGGAAGCCAGTGAAATGTTTTAAGTACTGGAGTTATATGATAGGTCCGTGGTGTATATGTTATCAACCTCGCAGCAGAGTTCTGAACACGCTGTAATTTGTTTACATGTACCTCAGGCAGCCCATACAGAATACTATTGCAATAGTCGATTCTTCCAATCACAAAAGCATGGACAAGTTTTTCAGTTACGTCTTTAGTTAAATATTTCCGAATCCGTCTTATATTATGAATGTGGAGGTATGCAGCTCTGCAAGTTTTGTTTATATTTTCTTGCAGTGTAAGATGGTTATCTAACTATGTCCCAAGATTCTTTGCAGTAGAAACAGTAGTCACTGTAGCTTTACCAATAGTCAGAGTTTGTGGGCTTATCTTCTCAAGTTGTTGTTTAGTTCCTATAATCATGAATTCTGTCTTATCATCATTAATTTTTAACTTGTCAATGAGCATCCATGTCCGTAATTCATCGATACACTTTTCCATTGATGCAATTGCCTGTAATTGAGAGGTGTTATTGGGTGAGAATGCAAGGTACAATTGCGTACCTTTTAAAAACAATCTTTTAAAAAAAAAATTGCCGATTTAATGTTAACTAAAACCTTAGGCAAAATGAATAGAGGAGCTCACGCTCATAGTTGCATCATGGGTAATCAGGGCAAGATGGCGGGAAATTAGAAGATTTGTATTAGAATTTAAAGCCAGCTGCTTCTTCTTGAATTCATATATTTGATGCTTTCCCTTAAAAAAAGAGTAACTTACAAGTTGAAAGAAACAATACACGAAATCTGGAGTGCAAATAAGTCCGTGATCAGTGTTTAGAAAACCTCAATTTTTTCCATACATTTTCTGTATTTTTGATACTGTCGAATTACAGAAAATGTATGGGAAAATCAAACTTTCCTAGAAACTGATCACGGACTTCTTTGCACTCCAGATTTAGTATATTGTTTTTTCAACTCGAAAGTTACTCTTTTCAAAGAGAAAGCATCAAATATATGAATTCAGGAAGAAATAGCTGGCATAGAATTTCAATACAAATCTTTAAATTTCCCGCCATCTTGCCCTGATTATCCATGATGCTACTATGAGCGTGAACTCCTCTCTGTGAGAAATTAAAAGCTACTTGCCATGACATGGAGAAACGTCACCATCCCACTTTCCATTGAGATAACACGTTAAAACTCTAGATCTAAGCACGTGTCCAGTAACTTCCATAACATAGCCGTCAGGACAGTCAAAACGGCAGGATGAGTGAAATCTCATTGGCTGGGTGACACATAAAGGAGGAGTCACAGTGGCATACCGGACAGTGGGAAGTTTAGGGCAGCGAGTTTCTGAGAAAGAAAGCAAATAAAACAGTCAAAACAATTTGCATGTAACTCGATTGCAGTGAAACCTCTATTAAGCGGACTCCCAATTAAGCGGACACCCTCTATTAAGCGGACACTAAGCCGGGTCCCGAAATTAACGTCTTATATTTTTCTTTATAAGGAACCCCTATTCAGCGGACACCTCCATTAAGCGTACGCGGACACTAAAATAAATTGATTTCGCTAATTTCTATTGTTAAAAACCTCTATTAAGCGGACGCCGGACTGAATTGACAACTATAGTAGTATTGCATTACGTCCTTGAAATACGTACTGCAGTCGATTAAAAAAGATAAACAACACATTTAACCGTCAAAAGTTCACCTGAAAGTCTTCACAAAGTACAGCATAGAATCTTTAGCTTCCCTAACAACATGGAAGTATATTACAGTACAGAGTAACCGTTGAATGTTAATCATTAACAAACATTGCGCAATTTCTACAAACCTCTATTAAGCGGACTCTTGGGAAAGTCCCGGAGGTGTCACTGTATTCGAAGAGGATAATGGAGCTCAAATCATTGTTTTATGGTTTGAATTACACACATATTTGAGCTAGTTGAGATTTTCAGGAAGTCATTTTTACATTGTAAGAAAATAATTAACACGACATTACGTTTTATCACATATCAAGCACTGAAAAGTTGATTGAAAATGCGGTCTGTTAGATAATATTTGCCACGAACTTTGAGCCAGGTTTTAAAAGTTTTTCAGAAACACTCTCTCTTCTACATGATATAACTTCCAAAAAAAAATGTCATTCAAAATTATAGTAATGGTGCGGCATATTTAGGTACAGTTTATTTGGTTGTTGTTGCTGTTGTTTTAATTTTTTGTTTGATTTTTTTACCTGGCATCCAAAAACGCCATTGTTCCTTCACTGTTGTTTGTTTGTTTGTTTATTTGTTTTACCAGATATCAAAAAGGTCTCGGTGAGTAATTTTATTTGTGTTTGGGCTATTAGTATGAGCTTAGGAAAAAGCATTTCAGCGTTATTAATTGAAAATCTTCCCGTCGTCATACACACTTACGACATAGGCATGAAAACGCGGCCGAAGGCCACATAGTAAATAAAGTGCGGCCCAGACTCTGTGCGAGTTCGTTGGACTTTGAATTTATAAGAAAATGCATGAAAATAACCAATATACGTCCTAAATTCCATTTTTTGAAAAAAAATGGAAGTAAAAATGAGACACCTTCTGGTTATGTTTTTGTTATTTACTGTCTCTTTGCCTCTACAGCCACTTGGAAGCCTAGTACAACTCAAAATCTTAAACGTCGATAAAACGGCTTCCAAGTGGCTCTAGAAGCAAAGGGACAGTAGATAATTTTTTTTGGAGACCAAGCTCCCCCACCAAATTATCTCAGGGTCTGGATGACCGCCTCCGCCCACCCCCCCCGCATCTGATGGTCTGGATTCACCACTAATTAAGGGGCCGTATGGTTTAAAGCATTGTTTTCGATCAGATTTCTGCCCTCTTTCTTAAACATCTAGCCAAGATTTCATTCAATCAAAAAATTACTCAATTAGGTTGGAGTACTTGGTTCAATAATTTTTGGAGAATTTTTGGGTGACTTTTCGAATGTTTTCAATTTATAAAAATCAGGGAGGGGATATTTATAAGTTTGGAAAAGTGGAAATTATTGGATTCAGGGGAAGTAAAAATATGAAGTGAATAACTAGTAGACAAATACCGGATAATCCACCACCACAACAAGGTGTCTCTGATCCCATAAGCGGGGACTAACTGGTTTATGTGTATTCTTTTTCTACCCTAATTTATTTCTTTCCCAAATCAACATAATTTCCCCCCCAAAACACCTTCTTTTATTTAATGTTTTAAGCCATTATGTTTACGTATCACTCAATTTGGTGGCCGTTCCATCTGTTAGAATTTTGATTTAATTCGTACCACAGCTCCTTTAATGGCCACAACGTACAGTTAGAGCGTTTTTGACAATTATCGATTTATAGCAGAGTAATACGTCGTGTACCTTCACAGGTTGTTGAAGCCCCAGACCATGTCTTGTCGAGTTGACAAACACGCACCTCGGAGCCTTTCAGCTGATATCCATGACTGCATTTGAAGGAGCAGTGGGAGTGGTAGGATAATTCAGGGTTTGAGCATATACCATTAGGTGGATCGGCGTCAAGCACGAAAAGCAAAGGACATCTAATAACTAGAAGTAAAATCATTATAATATTAAATGTCATTATCATCATTTATTGACCATGGTTAAATATTCACAACACAGTTACACATTTAAAACTTAAGTCACTTGTTATATAGCCCAGGAAGAAAAACTTTTTCGTGTGCAAATTTATGAAAATAAATCTCGCTAGCGGTCAACATTCGCGGTTAACAGTGCACTGTTTCCCTCTGACATCATGGATTTTGCAATGTTGCCCACTCAGAGATTTTGAGGGGAAACAGTTTTATTGTCAGCTGTCATGTGACGTCAAAGTAACCAATGAGAGCGCGCCCTGTTGATCACCTGGAATCTCAACATGGTCATAAACGTTTGTCGTCACCTATCTCACGTTTCTTTATGGCACGCAGCTTTTCAGATAGAATTGGTCTTTCCCCTTAAAATCAACGCCATGAAAAGTTCCTCAGCCAGCAAGATCTAGTAAAAGGCAATGGAAACAATGAGGCTTTCTTTACGGTGTTATGTGCACAAGACACTTGAATGTTGTCACCCTCAGAAACGTTTCCTCCCCAGCCCACGAAAGAAATCTAAACTTGTTTCACTTTGACACCGCGTTTTTATGTTGAAACAAATTCAACTGCTCAATGTAAAAACTTTCTAAAAATCCTATCGTCATTTCTCATTGGTTAAATGTTTCGAATTTTTTCCCACGAATCTTTCACGCGACGTCTGAGATAACATTACCCGCGGGAAAATCGACACCGTCTAAAAATAACTTAAGAGGGATTACGATGGGGATTGGGAAACTTACGAACCCTCTGGTCCTTTTTATGCTCTCTTGTAAGCGGTTAGGCTCTTATTCAAAATGAATGGCAGTCTTGTAGACTAAATAGATTTTTTCAGGCTTCTGTACTGCTATACTGATAAAAAGATGAAAAAAGACCGACTGCCAACACTTTTACACCAATAATGACAGTGATGTACAAATTTAGTCCGAAGTCTTTATCTCACCTTGGCATTGGGATGGGGGTCCAGACCAAACCATGACGTTAGGTCCAGTAACCACGATGCACTTCCTCTCTGCACTGCCTGATACTTCATAGCCTTCATTGCATTGGATTCGACAAACTGAGTTGTATTTTGAGTTGCAGACACCAACAAAAGCGCCGTTGCTTGGCGGGAGCAACGGTAAACATGATCTAACTATACTCAAGAAAAAAAATAGAAACCCATCAACTTGAATCAGTGGGCGCTCCTAGACTGAGAATGGTTTCCCCGCGCATGACCTCTGAGGAACGAGCGCAGGAATTCCATACCGATGTCTTGTCACCACCATGATCTAGGTAGGACACTTCTGACAGATCATGCCGCGAAAAATATTTTCTTCAACCAATCACAAACATACGGTGGCTCGTTGGAACAAAACACGTCCCAGAATCCAAAAACACTTTCCAGAGTCCAAAACGCGTTCCAGAATCCAAAAACTCTTCACAAAATCCGAAACACTTCCCAGATTCCAAAAACACGTCCAGAATTCAAAACACGTCCAAAATCCAAAAACACTTCTCAGAATCCAAAACACGTTCCAGAGTCCAAAACACTTCCCAGAATCCAAAACACTTCGATCCGAGAATCCAAAAGTCCTTGTAATAACCCAAAACACGTCCCCAAAACCAAAAACACTTCTGGATTCTGCGAAGTGTTTTGGTTTCGGGGACATGTTTTTGGATTCTGGGAAGTGTTTTGGATTCTGAAACGTGTTTTTGGATTCTGGGACGTGTTTTGGATTTTGTGAAGTGTTTTTTTTATTCTGGGACGAGTTATGGATTCTGGGAAGTGTTTTGTCCCTATCAGACACGGTACAAACACTACCCAGATCAAGGCAGTAACACGTGTGACTGTAATGATTTGTATTCCGCTTTAGTCCCCCATATAATAATTCTGTAGCCTAGTTTTAAAGTACACGTCCAGCGAGCTCAGGCATAGGTGGCTACTCTTACAACAATCGTCCCAGTATTTATAGCGTGTCTAATAAGGACCAGTCTAACGAACAATGTGCAGAAAATCACACTAAGGAATAAGGTTTTTTTTTATCATCGTGTTATTGGAATCAATATAAATCAATCAGTAGTGATAAATTAACATTTGCTTATGCCTCACTCTAATAAACTTAAATAAATTACTATCGTAAAATAAACAATTCTTAATCAAGTATTTATGTTAAACATATCAGTTAGTCTTATCACATTTACATCCAGAAAATACTACGTAAAAATTGGCGCAAGTAAACAATAATTGCTGAGCACATGGATCCGAATATTTTTTAAAACAGAGATCTTTTTCTCTGTCTTCAATAAGAAAAACGCATGCACACGTAGGCTATATATCTAACTTTTTCGCCCGTCCACATGTAAACGCCAAAATTACGGATTTACGATAGCATCCCTTTAAGAGTATGCTTAATGCTAGTAGTATATGATGTATGACGGTTTTCGTCCCTCCGAAGGTAGAGAGAAAAACCGAGAAGCCGGCGTTTTCAAAAATCTCCTCTCTGGGGATAGGAAATGAAAACCAGCGCCCGAAAACGCCGTTTGCGTGTGGACAGAAGGCTAATTGAGACGGATAAAAAACTTCCGTTTTCAAAAACATCCGAAAAATAACGTGTGAATGGGGCGAAAAAAAGGTCTTTCTCACCTGTACAGGGGTTACCACTCTCTGGACGGCCTTGATATCCTTTGAAACACTTACAATCAGATACACTCCTGCTTCCGGTGAGACTATGGCCTGAGTTTGCTGGACAGGGTTGACAGTAAATTGTGGAGCCATCGTTGTACGTATTATGGGGACATGCTGCAGTTTCATAGAAAAAGGAACGCAAATAATAACCCCATTGAAAGGAGACATCTCAAGCCCTATGAACGTCTGCGTGGGACGCTAGCTTCAGAGTTTAGGCACCCTTTGTCTATTCTTTTGTTGGCTGTTGAATTTTTAAACCCATTATCCCACATGGAAACGGCCTAATTATCTCTGTCAGTTATGCTCAGTCACATGTCTTTTCCATACCTGTTTTTCATCCATTTTATTTTTAAAGGAAAGAACCAGATGAACTGCTCCAATTTAATTAAGCTGTTTTGTTTGTTTTTTTGTTTTCTTCAACACTCTCTCAGCGGAGTAAGAGATTCTTCTGGTGAAAAATCTGACCTATCACCCTGTACTAGGGCCTGTTTACATGGGCCTGTTTACATGGGGGTGGGGGACCTCAGGTGGGTTAAGTAACCCACTCAAGTGGGGTAACCCACCTGGTCCATATAACCTTTCGTTTTGATTCGATCACGTTTACATGATAGGTGGGGTAACTGCATAAGAGATTATATGGACATGCGGGTTACCCAACCTAAGTACTTTACCTCACCTGCCTGTGGTCCCCAGGCTCCATGTCAATAAGCTCTTTGTTTAATAGCAACTGTTCCTTTTGGACTTACCATTACAGTGCCCCACTACTCCTGACCCTCCATATCCTTTTGCACACAAGCACTGGTAAGTCGCGTATGTTAAATGACATACACAGCTTGCTGTTAGGTCACAATTGGTGTTGCATTTATTGGGGTCGACGTTTTGCGATCTTGTACCAAACGGGTCTAAAAAGAAATAAAAAAATAACAATAAATGATTATAACTGTTATGATGTAATGCTTTCTTAATCTTAGGACCTAGGATCTTGTACCTCCGAAGTCATTACTTCCCCACCAAAAAACTACCATTGGTAGTCACTCTCTTAATGTGATACAATAATTGATTGACATGGTGGTGATAACGTAACTTTGTACTTTGATAACTATTCCATTCCTATGGTCAACATCGAATGAGCGATGGTAATAACCTAGGGCTTTTTGTCGTAAAATTCAGAGTAATCAGGCTCGTAACTTTTTTTACCTTTAATTCGGATGTCAGATTATTATTATTATTATTATTATTATTATTATTATTATCATCATCATAAGAGAGAAAAAATTTTATTGACAACAATGCTAACTATTAAAATCATATTTACAATTAATTCGCTTAAAAAAAAGAAAAAACTATTCATTCAACAACACTATTTACAATTCCTGTCGATTTAAAAAGCACTTAATTTAGCTTAAAAAGAGTTAATTTAACTAAGAAAAATTTTTTCGAATTAAAAACATTTCATTGCAATAAAAAAGAAAACTGTCAACCTCTAAAATTCAAAAGTTTCTTTCAAGTGCTAAAAACAAAAAAAAAAGATAATAATAATAATGAAATAAAAAGATGTATAGGAAGTAAGGAAACACATCAATAGTCCGATTTAATGGCTCCTTCAACAACTTCGACGTCGATATCAACATTCTTAGTTATCATCATTGTTAAAATTTTAATTATTATTATTATTAGCATTATTGTTAATATTATCATTTTATTTTCTATTATTTCGCGACGAATTATTAACAAAGAAGCTGAATTCTCTGGTGATTAATTTTTGGTTCTTATTCTTACAACATTGTTTCAGCCAAAATGTCAGCTCCTCGATGAAGTGTTTACCTGCTTCGCCCGACGGTAGATTAAAAATATTTATTCGGAAATGAACAACCTCGTTACAGATACTATTTATTTCCTCGCAGAATATTTGGTGGCTGATATCTCCCCACATCTTGGCCTTGATTTCCTTGATTTATTATTGATTTTATTATTTTATTTCCTATTATTTCGCGACGAATTATTAACAAAGAAGTTAAATTGTCCGATGATTAATTTTTGGTTATTATTCTTACAACATAGTTATAAATAGCTTGAGAAATACTGTATGTACTTGTATGGATCCACAAATAAAGCTTGTTGTTGTATTATTTTCTAGAACCAAAAATGCAAAAAAAATTGTAAAAATGAAAGCTTCCGTTCACTCACCTCCCCTAAGAAAAAGCGACAGCTCGGCAAGCTCCCGAAAGGTTCTGATGTAAAAGGCTTGTTTGTCTGCATTATTAACCATCTTTTGTAAGTTGGTCTCCAGAATTCTGTTTCCGACACCAATCACAAATACCTCAATATTAGCCTGTTGTAGATTCTTGGCAACGGAAACAGGGCTCTGGCCTTGCCAAGGTCCGACCGTGAGGAAAATAACCACCGTTTTCACTCGATAGAGGGGGCCCCTTTTCATTGCGCTTAATTGCCCAAGGCAGATATCAAAGGCCAGTTTAAAGGCACCATACGTATTCCCACCGACGCCATTGATGCTTTGAGGCAAAGAATTGAACTTTTCAACCAGCGAGCACTTGTGCTTGTCCAAGGAGGGAGCGGAAACTCCGTCTATGTATCGGCTCGCTGTGTTGGCAAAAGGTATGACTTCTATTCGGGTAGTATGCAAGCTGACAGTTACAGTGTTCAAAAAGCTCTCGACGAATCTCTTTTCACTTTGAAACTCATAGGACGACAAACTACCGGAGGTGTCCAACAGGAACAGAATGTCGCTCTCCTTGTTAGCATCGGCCAGCTCATCTCGTAGCCTTTTGAGTTCTCTTTTTGCGCGTTCTAGGTTACTTTGGGCAAATGTAAACAGGCCCATTACCAGAATGAATACCACAACTGCAAAAACACCTTTCATCTTCGAGGTGATTTGGGGCACGAATTAGCACAGAGACAGTGACCGTGTGATTTGTTAAGAGTATAATGAACTCAGAATTGTTTCGCTGATGATTAGGAGACTTGATGGATTTTTAGAATGCAGCTGAATAAATGACAAGAATAATGTTCAGGTTTGGGCGATTGAAAGCCATATGACTAAAACTTTTTACTAGTAGTTAAAAGGTTTTAAAGAGGGATACCGTTATCAGTTATTTTTGTTGCTCTAAAATATTGAATGTTCACCCATTAAAATAGGCTCCATTAAACACGGTGTATCCGAGATGAAATGAAGAAAAGATAACTATTCCCAGTTAATCAGGTGTGCAAATAAATATGGCAAAAAAAGTCGCAGCTCAATACAAAATCTATTAAATTCGCATGTAAATGGCACTGTTGATTATAATACACTAAAGTCACAATTTTTACTCTAAGAAACTCAGGACGTGATCTCTGACAATTGGCAATAAGAACGGAAATCATTTGTTCACTTTTGCTAACTTACAGCAATGTATTAACCGTCAGTCCAGAAACAGGTGAAGTACATGAGCAACATTTCACAACACATCTTATTAAAAAAGCCGTATTTTCACAACTGTCTTTGGACATGAGGTATTGTTTGTATTTGTAACATAAAAATTAAGCAATCAGTGAAAATTTTCGGCAATAAGGATTTTGGACAATTTTCGAAGTGTTTTTTTGTGTTTGACTGTAAGATAATATAATTATCATACCTCTTTGTACAAGCCCTATGTGGAACACAACTCAGGTTGAAAGAACGGCATCTAACTCTAAGCTCAACATATAACTCTCAGCGAAGAGAGATGGGAGACGGTTTAATAAATTCATCTAAAAGGCAGTCACAGAACCCCTTAATTTTGCGGGTGTGTAGGTACATTCCCGTAACCAAATCCCAGGTGATAGGTGTATCCCCCTCATAATGCTTTACTATGTTTTGGGTATCCCTTGCCGAGTTTTCTCTTAGGGCACACAGATCACTAGTAAGTTTCATTCTCACCATGTTCCGTACCTTCTTTCGGTGGCAAAGGGGTTTTAAGTAACTTCGTCTTATGGGCGGTCACAGAGCCCCCATTACAGCTAACATCTAAGGAGGGACTTGTGTATTTCTCGTCACCCCCACGAACGCAGTAAGGTAGTTTTCAATTCACCTCTCTCTCTTTTTTCTAAGACTTTGTCTTTCTGCTAATATCCACGAGGCTCCTGACATACAGAGCAACACAACTTAGATGATTTTTAAAAAAAGTGAAGTGAACAGCGACTATCTTGAACTCCATCGTCTCGGTTTCTTTTTTTAATTAACAAAACGCCTTAAATCTCAAAATTTGGAGCGAAACTTAATCGTTAATTAATTATGATTTCACATGTGAAATTACAAACTGAAATCGCTATGAACGTTCCGTATGTCTCAGTGCCAAGATGGCGTCAATGTTTTAAAATGTTACGAATAAGGATGTCAGGGCATTAAAAGACGCTTTAGGGAAAAAGAACATTAAGAAAGATTCTAACAGGTATTCTAAAGGAATAATCAGAAAACTGGGAAGCCAAAATTTATGCTCTAAACGTTTCATCTCGATCCGACAAATTAGGGAATAATTTCACTATCGTTTTGTCAAAATTCTAATAATAATAATAAAAATAATAATAATAATAATTCTGTGTTAAATTCTGTTTAAGTCTCGTAAACTCGCATTTTTTGATAGCAGGGCTCCATTAGCTCTTATTAACAGAGCGGGAGGTCTGTATTGGACAATCTTGACCGAGGTTGGCAGTACAGACCGAACGCAGTGAGGTCTGTACCAGCGATCGAGTTAATAAGATGTTTATCATATGGCCAAACAAGAAAGCAAAGGAACAAAGGCATCCATTTCGACTTCATCTTTGTTCGTAGCTTCCTCGGCAGGACTCAAATTTGCCAACGTTTGCTCGTTTTCTTTACCTGCTTCCTCGTGAAGGTCCACTGATTCTTCCATTTAGTATTATTAACAGGAACAAGCCAATTTTTTCATATTCTTTGTTTGTAACGTTTTGAGGACAACTGTTACAACAAGATCGATCATATTACGTTGATATAGCAACCGTCTGCCACATTATTTTGGATGCACTCATCCTTCTCCTCCCCTTAAACATAAAAGGTGCACAATGGTCAAAAGCAGCTGAGTAAAACTGTATATTTATTGGTGAATTTAACACTGATAAATTATACAGCAGCACTTCACTGAATATGAGAACTTTGATAGGCATCCAGGGCCTAAGCACCTACTTCTCTTTAGTTTTATTCCGTGGAAACCTCTGAAATCAACCTGTACATAAGAAAAAAGCAATTAAAGGCAAAGTTGTGTAGACATTACTTGTATTTAAATTCCGAGCCTGCTCGCCATTAGAGTTCCAGCAGCTAAGTGGTTAGAGTGTCCGAACTAGAACTCGGAGGGTCGCTAGTTCGATTCTCACCTGGAGCTCGGAAAATTTTTCTGAGCTTTCTGGTGTTTCAATTCTTCTTCTTCTTTGATAAAAATATACAGTCTTGGGCTTGTACGCTTGTGGACGGCCGAATTTCGAACAAGTGAAAAAAGTCTGGTGTACTTGTATTTGTAATTTCCGGCCCTGCTCGCCATTAGAGTTTCAGCAGCTCAGTGGGTAGAGCGCCCGAACTAGAACTCAGAGGGTCGTGAGCTAAACTATTTATCGCAATTTGTTGTGACCAGGGCTAGTGCTTCAAACGTCTAATAAGAGTCTCTTTTCGGTGCCAATTCATCGTTTAAATTAATTTACTAAGATGACTATACGACTGTTCGAGAGGATTATATGGATTCTTCTGGTACAATGCAGGGCGATCCTGAAGACTAAGGGTGCATTTCCACTGTCGCGTAATTTTTACTAGCGTAAATAAAATAGAAGCGATGTATGGAACGCGCGTACGCACGTAAAAATTACTCAACAGAGGAAATCTACCCTAAGACAATCGAAATTGCTTGAATAGAACTGAAATCTTTTGTTAAGGCCGGTTTCAAAATAATCGTCGGCCTTCTATTGCACTTTCCAATACTGTGTCAAAAAATCGAAGCTGTCGTTTTTATACGGCAAACTAGGCTCTAACATTTACCTTTGACTCCAAGAGAAACAGACATGTCATTCTTTAAGCATAAATGGGGGGAAAACTTGCAGGAAAAAAAAGCTGGAAGATACGGTGACATTAACAACTGGTAGAAGTTGTTCTTTATTGTATCTTGGACGTTAGGCGCATCTCCATCAAAGTAGAAATATGGAAAGATCTTCATCTGAGAATGATTTACACCAACTGCAACAAGGTTTTAGAAAAAGGCAAAAGTAAGGAAAAATCCGCATGAAAAGAACGTTATCATTTATATGAGTGATTCAATAGACGGGTTGCATTGAGTATTGGCAATTGCGTACTGCCAACCAATTGTTTGGCAATCACTCAAGCAAATCATTGCAGTGAGTTCCGTATACCCAATTGTTCAATTACCGATGACCACAAAGCAACCTTTATTGAATTACGTATATACAGTAGGGAGCTTATGGTTATGTTCACACTATATTATAGTTTTAATTTGCACCTGCCCGAAATCTATATACCGACGCCGTTAGGGCTTCTCTTTTCACTGACAGAATGGTGATTTCGGCCCGATTTCTGTTACTGATCGAAGCCGATCTCTAAAGTGAAGAGTCTCATATCGGATAGATGTTACCAGATAACTTTTCGTGTCGGTTCAAAAAACCTTCTGTTATAGTGTGAACTGGCCTAACCTAATATCCGAGGACGGGCGGCGAAAACGTCGCCCCAAAAGCGCTGTCGCGTTCTTTCAATCTTCATACCGCGATTATTCAAACTCACTTACTTTGCTGAATGTAGGCGAACTCTTCTGAAACTGAATTCATAAGAACAATATCCAAGTTCACAAGAAAAAGAAAATTTCGTCGTCGCTCGAGTCCTCCATAGAGGATTAAATCAGGCATTTTTACGTCGTAGTCGTACAGTAACGGCAAAGAAATGAACAAAATTAAAAATAGTAATGCACGTGCAGAGTTGTTTTGCTTTTTAATGTCCAAATCTGATTTATTAGTGAACTTACGCAACAGGACAGGAGAGGAAGGAAGACGGCGAACCTTTTGTGACAAGCGTGACAATAATTTTGTTTTAAAGAACTTTTTCAGCACACTTCACTTTCCTTTAAACAGATCTTTTTGTTGAAGACCAGAAAACATTAGTGCTAAGTGAAGATCACGACAAAACATGCAAGTAACAGCCCTGTCATGTTTGTCACACACAAGCGTTTTGCCCTCTTCTTCTTCTTTGCCGTCCTGTTGCGTAAACTCACTATTGTTTTAAAGAACGGTAACCTGGTGGTTTGACCCATTTACACTTGTCTAGTGTTGTGTTTATTATATACATACTGAGACAATCATCATTTTGGCAGCCTTTTTATTTCAAATCTTTCCAAAATGCTAAAATTTGCCGCTACACACCACGAAACAGGTCAAAAAGTGATAACCAAGTCGAAGTATCAGCTTATTTGTTAAAATGTTTGTAGTAACTTGAATATAGTGAGGGTAAGGATATGAAGTAATCCAAGAACTACATACAAGAAATCTGTTTTTTCTGAATGCACAATTGAAAATGAACGAATTAAGTAAAATGGCTGGTTTGAATATAAGCCTAAGCTTAAACAGAAGACAAAGTAACTCAGATAAAAAGCACAACTTCAGCTTTATACGTCTCGTTCTGATTTTCCCCTTGCGCTGTTGTTGTGCCGACTCTCTCTCTATATAGTTTTCTTCATCGACAGTAAAACAAAAGAAACTATTCCACTCCAATTTCCAAGATGTTTTTCACTTTTTTCACGAGAAAAACACTTCGAGAAAAACGTTTCTCGTTGAATGTCTGCGAAGTGGCGCTGCAAGCTGCAAGCGCCTATAAAAGGCGGGAATTTTGGCGCGAAACTCACACACCTCTGTGGCCTCTGATTGGACGTATTATTTTTCTCACACGTGAAAAGACATCGTTCGCGATTCTAATGGACGTATCATTTTTTGCACGTGTGTAAACCATCGTTCGCTCCTTTGATGGGCTAGAACCCATTTGCGTATGAAAATTTACGACATAGCTTTTTGGTGTGTATTTCTCAGTATGTATATAATAAAAATCTATATCGGAAATCAATCGTTATTATCGATATTAATCGATTTAATCCGGTGATTAATATCGATTAATTTCGGAATCCGATAGAAATCGAAGTCACAGAAAAAAATACTTTATCGATTGACAAAATCGATAACAATCGATAGGAATCGATGGTAATCGAAAACAATCGATAAAAATCATCATCGATAACTATCGGAAAATCATTGAGATATAAATCGAAGTCACTACTTTTTTCTTTATCGATTTCTATCGATTGATATCGGAAATCGATATTCACCGATGATTGATGTCGATTACTATTTATTGTTATTGATTATCGATTTATCGATAAACGACGTCTGGATTTACATCAGTGGACAAACCGATCTAGTTCACCGTTTGGGTAAATCAGTTTACGCAAAAGTCAGGAATGATATATTTTGTCCCGGAATTCGCGGTTACCTTTTGCACAGATCACTTCCATTTGCCAAAAAACAGCTGCAAAAGCTTAAAACTAATATCAAAAATAGCGTCGAAGGAATGGATAATGAATTTCGGTTTGGACCAATCTGACCGGGTAGACCGGACTACCTTTTAAACAATGCCGTTTCCCCCAGAAATTTTCTCCTGAAACGACCCGGAGTGGTGTACCATTTACATTCCAATCGGATTTTCTGGAAAATTTTGTAAATGGTAAACAACCGATATTTTTTAGTCAACTCGTTATTTTAGGTTACCATTGCGTTTTTTAGTTGCGTTCGAGGTACGAGAACGCAACCCCTTATTACTGTTGGGTGTTATGTTATGTATTTGAAAAAACTTATAAACAGCCCACAGTAGCTCCACTCAAGTCTCTGGAATCAACAAACTCGACCAAATTACTGCACTTGTTGATTACAGAGACGAACCTTACGATATCACTAGCCTTCAAGACTTTTTCACTTTTTCGCTGTATACGAAATCCTTACGTTTAAAATATGCCATAATCAAATTAATCTATCGCAATAACCATCCACCCTTCCCCCTCAACTGCTATCGAACGCACTCTCCTAAGCTCTGATTACTCCTAGTAAGGAAGATTTTTTTGAGATTGCATTTGTGTCGACACATTTGCTTCGCTTTGAGGCACTTCCTTACGTTTTGCCTAACTTTGACGCGCTAACTCACGTGGTGATTCGTGTGTCCTCGGCGTTCATCTTTCAAACGTTTGCTGAGGTCTCCTATGTCTTCGTAAAGTGTTCATCTTTCAAACGCTTGCTGAAAGTTTACCTCCTGGGTAAAATTTTACTTTGGATTAAGCCTTCATATTTTTATTTGGAAAATGAGTGCGACTCCTGGTGCATGCGTCAAACCGGGTTGTTTAACTCGCGGGTCGTTGAGCCACAAAGTAAATTTACCGGCGAGTTGTGAAGTTCGGCGTCCGCTGTGCCACAAACTAAGTCTACTGAGTTGTGTAGCTAGTCCGCCGTAGTGCCACAACACTAAATCCACCGAGTTGTGTAGCTCGGCGGCCGTTGTTCCACAAAGTAAATCTACCGAGATGTGAAGCTCGGCGAAACCTTTTCATTATGATATTTTCGGCACCGGACAAACGAATATTTTTATAACTCTGTAGAATTCAAAAACAAATTCTACATTGAGACAAAATAAAAACAAAATTTGACGCCATTTTGGAATAAGGTGGGTAAGTTTAATTTCTTTTTAATTTTCACACAAGTTTTTGAGGTTTTAAATTTGAGTGTCTTGACACGTTATTAAACTAACCAGACGTATTCTGCACTGTTTTGCTGTTAAGTATAAATACAGTGGCGGATCCAGGGGAGTAGCCCGGAGGGAACGCCCCCGCCCCTTATCTTTGGACAAAACTGAGGTCCGAAGGGCCGAAAAAAAATTTTGTAAACAATGAACGAACTTCAAAGGCTTTTTGTCTATCTTTTTAAAAAGATAAAAAGTGTCTTCACATCGATTTAATCCCGAAAATAATGGTCCAGTTTTGTTATTTAAGACTATATCCAGGCACTGGAACTGTTTCCTGTCGTCTGTTACAACAGACGGTAAGGACGGGCATAAATTGACTAGAAACTTTTGGCCTAAAAATCACCAAAAGATCTATAATGGTTAATGTTCCCTGATGAGTTAAGTATCATAACGTCTCCACAACTCTGAAGGAGTATTTGAATTATGTATGGTTGAAGACACTAAGTAATGACCTCACCACAAAATTGACATAAAATAATAGCACTATCCTCGTGACACTGCCCCTTTATGTAAGAGAAAAACAATAAATAAAATTAGGAACATTTAGAGACTTACCAGCACAGTTTGGCCCGGGAGTACCTGCTTTAAATAAAGGGAGAGGCGAAAATAACTTCCACACTCCACTCGAACAGTAATACAGAAACGGTGGGTTAGATTCAAAATCGGTACCAGTACGACACATGACTGCACAAAGATCACTTTTCGGCGTTGCACACACCAGGGCACCGTTACGAGGAGGAGTAAAAGGAGTACACTGTTTTCCTGTGAAGGCAAGAGGAACAACAGAACTTGTATCCCTCTGAACGTTTAGCATTAAGGTTTGCAAAAAAAATGGATTTTAGGTAGAGATACAAATAACTGTATAAACGTATGCCCTGATCACTGATGTTGAAACAATTGACCTGGCTTTGCCATTTTTTTTTCAATTAAGAAAATCGTAGAAAAGTTCTTTCAGATTCTTTGGAAATGATGCAGTCTACAACAATGAAGACACGTTAATTTCATCATTTCTTAACAATATTGGTATTTGAAGAAATAAATTCTGATGTCAAAGTCTCAGATTTTAGCTTTCGACCGTATGGCACAGTCTTCATCAGCAATAAACGCTCAGTGTTGTTACGTGAATTAGTCACATGAAAACAAACAATTAAAAATCACGGGAAGTTCATAGCCCCCATCTCTGCTTAGGGTTGGTCTCTGGCGTCTGATACGGATGGCCTCCTTGCTTTTTCTTTTAATACTTAAAATTGAAGGCAAGGCTGATCGGACAGCTAAGGGTTACAAAGTTATTTGCCCAATATTTCGACTAGACAAAACTAGTCTTCATCAGGGGCTAGAAAAGCACAGTGAGAAGAGAAAAAATGGCCACAGTATTTGAAATAATACAAAAAAAAAATAAAATGTGATTGGTGGAGGAGTGCAATAGACAAAAACTTGTATAAAGAGGTTATATTTGACAATTATTCTTTGAAATCGAGGTAAATATTCCTAAAGCCACCACCGAGATTGAAAAGAATAATTGCTTTAGTATATAGACAAGAAGTGATCTCAACAAAATCAGAGAGGAAAGCATTAAAAACCATGATTTGATTGACGGATCAAATCACGCGAAAGTTTAAGAATAGATCTTTGCAGAATTTTCAAACATGGCAATTCACAAGTTTATCACCTCGCAAGCAACAGCGTAGTGGCTTAAATGGAACCGTTAAAAGTTTGAATTGTTTCCTTACCTGAGAAGAAAAGTAAAACTTTGTTGTTTTCTGTTAACTCGTCAAGTTTATAGCCAAAAAGTTCTCTTGTGTCGTTCTTCACGTGCTCTTCCCCAGAGCACTAGTTGTCTGCCCTAACCTATGCTGATGTAGCCTTCCCGGCAGACGCTCTTAGGGGTTCGTCACGCGTTCCTCCCCCAATAACGTCTGCTGATTTGAGCGGAAAAAACATAGACCAATCACAGCAGACTTCCAGATCTGGTTATTGCACTTTGGGCCTTAAGAAATTTCTCGCTTGACTTAGCTCTAGAAAAGGTCAGAGAGGTCTCATGAAAGGTGAAGATCTTACAGTTTTAGCACAAACTACTCAGTTAACTCCCAAGCGTTCGTACTAGAGGCTACCCTCACAATCCCATTAAAAAATTATCTCGGAGGTTAAATTTGCTGAACGGAAGTCGGCTTTACCACAAACAATAAAGAGTGGCAAAAATTCTGCCTTTTGTTCAGTTGCAAAGTAACGCCGCCGTTTCATCACCAAGAGAACAACTTTATGAGCAAATGACATCTAATCGAGCCTTTACAGAGAGAAATAAACAAAAAGCCAACGCTTATCTCCTAGATTCTCCTCCGGACCAAATATCTTTGGTCACGTATCACACTCTACCGAGCTTGCACGTATGTGTTTGGCTTGTCAACACTTTGACTTCAACAGCACCGATTGGATCCCCAATAATCCCCATGTGATCTCCAGTTGATATTTGCGAACAATGGGAAAGGAATTTATCTTTCGGTTCAGCAGACGTTAGTGGGGCAGGAACGCGTGACGAACTCCTAAGAACGTGTGCGTGGGAGGCTAATACTGATGAAGACTGTGCGATATGGTCGAGATCTACAAGACTGAAATCTGAGACTTTGAGACTAGAGTTTATTTTTTCAAAAGTTTGATTACCAAGGTCGCGAATGAGCATTCCTTTTCTACCACCGCGGTCAAACGTCTAAATCGTTACTTTTGTTTTTTATTGCTGGGATTTCATTTACCAGTTAGAGAAAAATGGGCAAAGATGTATGAATCAGTTAGTCAACATAACTATCTTTCCATTTTTCTCAAAATTTTGAGCTTTTTTCGCTGAAAACGCTTCACGCTAAAAGAGAATCATGCTTGAAAATGGCGCCGACAGTAACGCCAGCATCGGTTTTCAATCACTTAGAACTTTTTAGTAAACTTTTAAAAAGTTTAGTAAACTAACAGGATGTTGGTAATACCCTAAACTTTCGATAGTGAAAGTATCAACCTTAACTTTGAAGTATTTCGCTTAACTTTTGCAAATTTCACTCGTTTGACCGCTGTGAATCCTTTTCCTGTTTGTTTCTTTGTTTCCATAATACCCCTCATAATGCATTGTTTCAGTATCATGAATTCTCAAGGGGCTCAAGGCCTGGGTCAAAGGTGTTTGGAACATATGATTGTTGGCAATATCTCTCGCTCGGATACCCAGAACAATCTGTTCCCCAAAAGTAAATCTTGAGGTATTCTTGTGCTTTAACATTTCATTGTGGTCACGTGATGTGTCATGCGATCAAGCATTTAAAAGAAATTAACGAGTTGGTGACGAATTTACTTTGTTTGAGTAAATAAATTGGCGTTTCTGATAGAGGGTAAAAACAGACGAAGCCTAACAAAACACGTCATGTTATTTAATTAACAATATAAAAATAGTTATAGAGTTTTTTTTTTCTCAAAATTATCCCTCTGTTTCAGCTTGCAAGACCCAAGCTCGCTGCTGTAAAATACCAACCAAGCAAGAAATGACCAAACCTGTTGAAAGCTTTCAATCAAACATTAGTAACTGATGAAAATGTCTTCATTTGATAGTAACTTACTTTTCAATGTTATTCTGAATGTGCAGTTTTTGTTCTCGTTGCCGGATGGGTCCGTTGCAGTATATAGAACGTTATAGACACCAGGAACAGCAAAGAGAGATCCACTTTGCCTGTTTGGAACAGCAGAGAAAATCCGGCCCGAATTATCGGAGAACACTGGCTCCTCCCAGCTCACTACTGCTTCAATCTTTTCCTCTTCACGCGCAATGTCCCCCGGGCATTTGCTAAATGTGGGTGGTTCCGTATCTACGGTGAAATGCAATTGAAAAACAAATTATAACAGAAGTGAGGGTCCACGGGATTTCTCTCATTTGAAATTCGGGATTCGGGACCTTAAACACAATCGGGACGAGATTTGGGATCAAAAGTATGCACTGAAATTGGGATGCTAAAAATGACCCTCGGGATTACGGGATTACACAAAGTTTTGGGACGGGATTACGGGATTGAAGAACCCTATGGGGACCCTCAGCAATGACCTTTTTTTAAAGGCCTTCTTTAGATTATCGATTAAGTAGACATGAGGGTCTTTTCACCATCGGAAAAATACAGAAAAATAAAAGTAAATACAGAAGATCTAAAGAATTGCTAAGGATAAATATTGATAACAAATCCGAAACATATACCTTATCCAGGATAGTGGCGATTTAATGTTCTTTTGTCTCCTTATAATCGAGACCATTTTTCAATTGTGTACTTAGTGTCCAGGGCCCTTGAAATAGGAGCGAGGCTGGGACAGGTTCCTCGAACGACAGTTAAGTTTAAGCCAGAATTACGCCAAATATTATGCAAGGTTTTCTCGTCTCGAGCTTACAAAATACTGTTCAGCCTTTACTCGGAGATTCAGTAATAAAACCACAAAATGTGACTCACAAGGCAATGCATATAGGAGGGCCAAAAAATACCAAACGGGGAACAAAAACTTTGAGGCTTGATTAGCAGTAATCGCGGCCTTTCCGAAACCATGCTCTGGAGTTGACTTTGTATTGTTGCAAACCTAACTGTTCTTTTCTTTTTTTACAGTCGACTCTCTCTTAACGGACACCTCTATAAGACGGACACCTCTGTAAAACGGACACCTAGAGTTGGTCCCTACCTTTGTTTATTCCCTTTATTTGTCTCTTTATAAGACGGACATCTCTCTAAGACGGACACTTAGTGCCCGTCCCAAAGGTGTCAGTCTTGGAGAGAGTTGACTGTACATGTAAATGATGCTTGTTATACAAGAATAGCACTATTTGCACTTGTAAATCACGAACGTTTGAGACTACACCAAACGTCACCTCATTTTTAACACATCATAAACCGAAAATAACCTGAGAAATCTTAATTATCCTGCTTGACTTATGATAGGATCTTTTGACGATATTAAAAATTGATTTGATTGTGGGCATTTTGTTGCACAATAAATTAAAGGCCAATAAGCGAGGTTATCACAGTAGCCTGGCTTTAGCGCAAATGAAATTTTTAAAGTTTGGTGTTTTTGATAGGCTGTCAGCAGAGGAAAACAACGCTAGAAGTTTTAAAATATGCAAGGCTTCATTCGTCTTTGGACATTGAACATTTTGGCTTCATAACCCACGTTCGATGTATTAAAATTCTAACACGACTCCGATGCTTTCTGGTAATTTTTCTATATCTGTTTTGGTTTTCTTTCGTCTTTTCTCTTCTGGGAATTGCGAGGAAATGGAGGCGAGAAAAATTTGCAATTTTAACCCTAAAGCCTCGGAGTCATGTTAGAATTTTTGTACATCGAACGTGGGGTATTGAATACTTTTAAGTATTCAATATTAAAATATTCCCGGAATATTGTATCCTGAAGTAAATATAGGTATCTTTATATATAACTACTAACCTCTGATTTCAACGTGAAAACTGCAAGACGCAACATTTCCTGCGCAATCTCTAGCAGTAACAACAACTATAGTCCCACCAATAGGTAATTCTTGTAAAGAATGATGACTTGAGGTCACATTGATCTTTGCATTGGGATTCACAATAACAGAGTTGTCTGTCACATGGACTTTCCAAGACACCTTTCCAGTCGCCTTCCCTTTGATTGTTTCAGCTCTTAAGAGAGGTTGAGGACACGTCAATGTTGGGGACCGATGATCTATAGATTAGAAATACAGTCAAACCAGGCCAGTTAATACGGAAACTGAGGGGGTCATAGGGAGTGTCCGTGTGCGGTAAGCGGGTTTAATTTAGAGAAAATGTAAAGGACAAAGCAATCTGTCCGTAATAAGGTGTTGGTATTAAGCGGGTGTACGTAAAGTGGGTTTTGACTGTATATTAAGGCCGGAACAGAGTTAAACTAAGAAAATTTTAATTCGTACTACTTTACGCAAACGAAAGGAAGAGCAAAAAATACGAAAGTTTTACTTTTACGAGGCGCTAATTTGAATTGCAACATCCAATATTGGTATCCAATGTATCAAGTAAAATTAACATTGTTAGAAAACGTCCCGCGGTGAGCTACTCAACAGAGTCTTATGACGGGAAAGTTCTACCCCGAGGTCCACTCCATCACCTTTTTTATACCATTTTCGATAGAAACGGTAGCCCTTTCTTATACCTTCTGTTGACAATTGGTACCCTTTTCACATACCTAGATTAAAACTTTGCATCGCTTTTAACTGCTGTAAATTCAATGTCTTTTAAGTATGTATAAATCACAAAACCAGAACGTTTGCTCGACATTTTTCAGTTAAAGGCCCTCTTGGGCCTTTAACAGATCAAAATGACTACATGTACCCTTTCATATACTTCAACTAGTGAAATCCCTACCCTTTCACATACCGGAAGCATGAAGTAGTTGACCCCTTTCTGGAGAAGCGTTCACGTATAAGACGTTTTAGTATACAGCTATTTCGAGAAAGGTTGTCGGAAAAAGTGCACGCGGCAATCCCGAAAGGTATTGTGGGTGGTTTTGAGTTCGCCGTTCCTCAAAGAAATTTGAAAGAATGGCACAAGAGGCCGTGTACGTATGTTTGCGCGTGCTAAAAGAAAGCAATAAAAGAAGTTTTGACAGCTACAGTGTCAGGAACCGTGTGTTGATGATATCCCATATTATTTTTCGGGATTGTCGCGTGCCCATTTTTGCCGACAACCTTTCTCGAAATAGCTGTATACACACTCAGTGATCTTGGTAATTCAAGCAATCTGATTGTTTAGCTATCTCGGACTATGACGTTATATTCACCGCGCTAGGCGGTGAATATCAGGGGGGGGCTGGCAACGGCCTTTGATCTTGCCGCTTTTCGGCTTTGCATGATCGCCCCAGTTAAGAAATCTGTCAATCATTCGAGAACTGTAGCGAGCATGCGCGAAACGGGCTGAGAACAACGACAACATCAAAAGTTCGTGTTCGCGGAGATTCGACGGTGTGAAGTGAATTCGCTTTTGGTCCTGTTGCTCATTGCTTTCTTTGCTGTACCGATTTTTTTCCGCAGTAATGTGGGTCTAACGTTTTCCTTTCTTCTGGTCTTGCGTTTGTCATTTTACATGCGGTTTACTGCGTTAAGAACGAGACCAGTGAACATTCATTGTACATGTACATGTTCGTCGATAACCGACCTTTTGGCTCACTACAGGCTTTCAAGCTGTGTTTCTGTTTAGAAGACCCACAAGAATAGAAAAAGGGCCAGCCCTCCAATGCGTATGTAGAAGAGTTTATATTTTCAAGTGAAAGGCCGAAAATTAATCCTTCGTGACATTAAAAAAAAGCGCGGTAGCCATGGTCAAATAGAAGAGTTGTCAGAGTTGTTTACGGTTTTCGTACACCTTTAAGACGAAAAGAAATGAAGATTGAGGTTCTTAATTCTTCATCCTTGATTGTGAACTTATCCTGGCAGAGTTGCGTTGGATGATTGAGTGTCATATGGTCAAATCTCGTAGTTCATGTAGTTTTTTATGTAATAGAAGCTAAATAAATTTTGCCAAGAGATCATTCACTCTTGAAATGCTTTAATAAGTTCTTATCTTCGTGTGATTTAATTTAAACTTTGCCGTAGTTTTTAAGAAATGAACATAGGCAAATGAAAGGGTAATTATTTTATGTGTTTGGAATTCTCTTTTCATGATAGCAGTTACTACACTGCCTTCAGTTTGAGTCCTCATTCAATTGTATTTTGTTTTGTTGCAAACAAAGAGGGAGAAATTATAAATATTTCATTCAAAAAACTACACTACTCACTGGAACAAGAGTATGGTTTAAAAACGATTAGCTAGGGTCAGAAAATAATGTTTAAGTTTGCATGTTTTGACAAGGACTACATCTGGCTAAATATGCTTCAAAGCGAATTTATCAAATTAAAAAAATGATGACATTTCCATTTTTGCCTTTCCTTTGGCCACTGTGATCAGTTTTTGCCATATAGTTGCATGTAATGTTTTACACATTTGGACATCAACCTACCAGGTTAGTTTGTGTCTGTGTAAAAATGTAGTTTACTGTTAATGAAATCAAAGTAAACCCTCTCAACTTAAAAATTGCCTTGTACTAGTGGATATTGAAAACACTATAGGATGCCTTCGAAAAAAAATGTAAAATGATTATTAAGATAATATTAGTTGCAGTCAACAATAACAGTTAGAAACTTGTGTTGAGGCTGGCAAAAATATTTTTCAGAGACCTTAAGCCTTCACCGACTTTGCTGTTACAATAAGTGGTAAAAGGGAATTAAAATGTGAGATCACCTCCCTGGGCTTACACTGAAAGAGAATATGGGTAGTAGGACACATTGTGCATTTCCCTACCCTTTTTAAGCCAAAAGACATTATAATCCCGATTCATTTCCTTTAGCATACAGAATTAAGGTAGCTTTTAAACTTAGAAACATGGCAAAACTTGGGGGAAAAATGGTGGTACCAATAGACTGTACTCTATAGACCACAGTGAGTTCTTCTTCAACCTTCACAACCCAAACAGACACCGTGTTCAAATCTCTAAAGGGTGAAATGGTCACCACCCTAAATCAGCAGCACATACCCATCAAGGCCAAATAAGCCAAGGCTAGTATCGTAGAAAGAACTGCTGAGAGGATAGGACTCAAGCCCAACAATAACTTCTTTTGATGGTTGATAAAAAGTCAATTTTACCTTGTATAATTTAGTTGTAAATCAGACTCATAACTTACACAAACAATAAACTTAAGTTGTATATTTTTCAAGCCTCTTCTGATTCTCTTTATAAACTTTGCAAAACATTCACTTTCGTTTTTTCTGTTTCTTGTACTTCATTCCTTTGAGGGATTTTCTCGACGCATACCCTTTCCTGATGTACTCACTCTTATTAGCAACTGAATTAGCCTCTTGTTCTTACAAAACCACTATAATCATTCAAGTATAATTCGTAACTAAAGGGTACTTTTTGTACCAACAATTTCAAGGAAATACTTGAAACCGAAGTCACTATCTAATACAAAACTACTAAACACGGTATTGCTGTTGGAAATTTATTGATTATCACTCCAATGACATTCCAGTGAAGGTTTTGAAGGTTCAGTGAACCCCTTCCTGAAGCCTTTTGATATTAAAGATAGCTTATACTGACAGATCCAGCATATGTGAAGCAAGTGATTGGAACATAACCCTGGTTTTTACTAAATTGGCCCTTTATTCTGTATTCACGCCCATAAATATTTGTTGTGCCTCCCGGTGTACACAAACAAACTTACGAACAGCGAAGTAGAAAATCAGTGGTTTAATGAACATTCACATATGACTGTTGCAAGACGCATACCAATATACTGTGCTCGTAGCATATGTTTAAGATAAGGAAGAGAGTCTTAAGAGTGAGTCCATGGGTGCACCAGGCAGGTGTGCTACATGCTATCTCTCCGATTTCAATGAAACTTGGCCAGTTTAAAGGGTCTACCCCAAAACTCAAAATGACAAACTGGTTCACAGTTTGGATCTTTATGGTGGGAGATAGCCCACCCAACTGATTTAATTAGATTTTTTACCAATAAAAGTGCATTAATAACAGGCAAAAGTAGAAAGCTCTCAGGACAACTGCTTTTAACCTTTGACTATGAAGGTTTGTATATATGTTGAGACATCTTTGACCAATGCAAGAATGTAAGTTTCAGTCGATTTGATTGACAGCTTGTCAATCACCGGCCTTGAATATGGGACAACCTTTTTAGCCATTCAAATACTTGCTGATTTGGAGATCAAATATCTCTCCTTGCCAGAAAGCTATGACAATAATTTTGCTATTCCATCTTTACCAACCCTTTGGTCTACAATAAACATAAAAAACATTTCTGGGCTCTTCCTTTTTTGGGCGTCAGATGCCACTTGAAAACTGCCCCTAAATCCAGCTGATTTCCACTTCACCTGTCGAATAATTCAGCAATTAACGGCCGCTGAAGTTACTAAACCGACATTTTCCAACCCGTTATACAAGAATAATAATTGGGGAGTTTAATGCATGCTTAAAACGTTCGAGATTTTGCGAGAAAATTAAAAATTTCACAGTAATTAGTGATGTATGTCACCAAAATATCGAAGGCAAAATCGTAATGTTTGTGACCTTGTTTTGATTTTCTCACAAAATCAGAGATTATTCTTCTTAGAAGTTAAACTATACAGAAGTCCTTCATTCCAAGTGTTATGGTCTCTACCGTGACAAGACCAAGCTGTTTTTAATTTCCTGGGGAGATTTCAAGGCCACATGGTGTGTGGTTGTTGACAAGCTTTGAATCACGCCAGTATAGCGCTAGTCACAAAATATCGTCAACTCGCAAATTTAAAAACAACATTCAGTGATGAGAAATTCTTTCTTATAGCGATAAAGAAATTACACTTAAAATGTTCGTTAAGTTGAGGCTACAACCTCAGAAAAAGAATCGTGTTAGTTTTACTTACCGCCGTCGATCTACGCAGAAGTATTATGTGTGCTGCGTGACGAGACAATATTTGTTTAGAATCCACTTCAGGAGCTTTCAGGAGGTCCTGCTAATCTCTATAACTATACTTATCTCCTCCTATCTTCATTTTTTTTTTTACAAATACGAGTTTTTCGAAGATCTCTGTCACTCTCGATCAAGATTATTTACGACCATGTATCATGTGACAAAAAGAAAGAGCCTGCAATGTTTTGATCAGCGAATTTCCCGCGCCTTCCCCGGCAATTTACATATATTCTAAACAATTTTCGGCTGTCTAAACAGGAAGAGAGAATGAATAAAAATAAGCCGAAAAGAAATAGCTGCGTTGACCAGAAATCTGCTGAAACCAAGTTAACGCTTATTCCACTTGATAAGAACTTGGGAATTCGACTAATAGGAGTCAGCGAGGTTTTGAGACCAATAATTGGCAAGACCATATCCACCTTCTTAAAGGAGGAGATCGATGGCCACAGTGCGGGTGTTGAGGCCACCATATATATACACGCCATGGCCCAGATTTTTGATGATGATGGTACAGACGGAATCCTGTTGGTTGACTGCAACATCCAAATTACTTTCCCTGAAATGTCCATATCATCAACACGTACAGAAGTTCCTCGAGATTGTTCACCTGTGGAGGGGAAGAGATCTTATCCCAGGAAGGGACAACACAGGGTGACCCTCTAGCGCTAGGTGGTGTGCGATCAACACATCCATCTTGATTCAGGGCCTAAGAGTGCATATACCTGAAGTTAAGCAAGTACCGTAAAGTCCCGATAGTAACGACCCCCCGAAAATAACGTCAATTTTTTGTGGCCACTAGTAAATCCCGAAAGTAGCGACCCCCCCCCAAAAGTAGCCACCCCCCCAGAAAGTAGCGAGACCAATTTTTTTATATTGTATACCGTATACCTTTAATTTGTCAATCAATAGTCAAAATTTTAATGTACAATAATATGTTCGTGCAGTGTCAGAAAATGTTCACGATAAGGTACTTTAATTTACAACAAGGGGCAGCTTTATGCCCCCATTCGTCCTTGACATCAGTTCACTGATGTAGCGATGTAAGAACTGCCGTAAACCGGCATAATTTCGTATTAACAACAGGAACATTTCTTCAAATTGAAATTGAAAACTCTATATAGTTTTCGTTGATTAAGATGAACGTGTTTCTTCCAATTAAATGACACTGAGATACCGGTACGGGGTACAGACTAAAACGCAGCGGTGCGTCATGCAGGACAATCGAAGCAGTTTAGCTTTCCACCTCTGAGTCAGTGAAGAACTCGATCTCCTCTATATCGGCTGATTCACCCATGTGGTAGTCCGGTAAACCATCGATACCATTGGAAAAAAAGCTCGCGCCAGCTCTATTTGTAAACGATTTTTGTTCCCCGAAAGTAACGACCCCCCGAAAGTAGCGAGCCCCAAAGGCTGCTAATTCCGAAAGTAACGAGGGTCGCTACTATCGGAACTCTACGGTATGGCTGGCTGATGACTCGGCGGAAGGCGGCCCAACAGACCTGTTATACAACTGGTACAAGCTTTTTTGTCAAGAAGGAAAGAAATGTGGCTACCTAGTCAATGGCTCAAAAAGATAGCTGATAGTAAAGCCCGGGTAGTAACTGACACAAGATCTAACAAATGAGGCCGACTTGGTGTTTGGAGAGGGGGTCAGAATAAAAACGGAAGGTCAACGACACCTAGGAGCAGTCATTGGATCCCAGGAGTACAAAGACCAATAATGTATTGGAAAAGTTCAGGGATGGAGGGAAAGCATCAAGTTGCTGGCTGAGATCGTAAAGAGTCAACCCCATACCGCCTACGCAAACGGCTACAAATCGAAGTTTGCATACTTTATGCATAAAATTGACTCATTTAAAGACTAGGTGGAACCAACTGGTGAAGCGATCAACGGTATTTTCCTTCCAGTTCATTTTGGTCAGACGGAACCGCTCCCTGATGAGTTGCAAGAACTATTCTCAAGGGGGTCTGGGTATACCAGACCTGAAAGCTGAAGCCTCACAGCAATACGTTGCCTCAAAGTTAATAACAGCAACGTGTAGCAGCTAGACTTTCTAAGGTCAAGACCGCAGGCCAGAGACAAGGGTGCAAGGGTGGCTCATCTCCGTTGCCCTTAAAGAGCAGGGACTGTGGTGTAAGAAGAAGGGTTTTGTTTCACAAAGACATGATGGCATCCAGAACCTTCTCACATCTCTTCTCAGCAAAGTCTGCAAGGATGTCGAGGTAGAGCCCCACCCCCTACTGATGGACATTGACGTATTCAACCTAAGCTCCGCCGTCACAAGTCCTCAGGCTAGACTGGGCATAAAGGCAGGAAGTTTCTGGTCATGAGGAGAAACATAATTCTTCGATGTATGTTATCCATTTGAACTCAACGTGTAACCAGAACAAATCCAAAGAATCGATCTTCGTGGAGCAAAAAGATGAAAAGGAAGTACCAACAAAGAGTTATGGTTGTGGAAATGGGATCTTTCCTCCCCCCCCCCCTTGTGGTTTTTGGCACAAACGGAGGAATGGGGAAAAAAAGCAAACTTTTTCTGAGCAACCTAGCGGACAAACGTTCCCGAAACAACGTCGAGTCGTATGCCAGTGCCATATCTTGGCTTGAAACATGCATATCTTTTAAAATTTCAAAATCTCTCCACACATGTTTACGAGGTTCCAGAACCCCTTTTCACAAGAATGCTGACTTTTTAGATGACTTTAATTTAGTGTTAATGCCAGGAATGAGGACATTTTAAAATAAGTTTTAGTATGTTTTTTTAGGGTAGTTTTAGTGGACAGTATTTTTATTAGTTGGTTATAGTTTTTTTAGTAGACCGTGTATTTTATTTAGGATGTCTCTTTAAATGTTATATGTCGTTTTTATCAAATGTTCTGCAATTGGTATAGGATTTAATGGAGCCGAAACCAATTGTGGAATTGCACGCATTTTAGGCATCCTACTGATGAACAGTTGCGACACGTAGATATATATTTTTTAGCAACTAAGATAATTTGCAGTCTGTCTACTTTGAATTATCATTGTAATGACAATAAACGCCTTTTTAAACAAATAATCGACAATAAATGTCGCAGCTTTTAAACAGGAAGTAAACACGGAATATTTAGTAACAAAAAAAAAGATCAGGTGATTCGGTGAGTGGAGGCGGGGAGGGGAGTTGGGTCTGTATACAGGCTATAGTGTTTCTCAGTTTTGGCCTTAGGGAGACAAAAACAAAAATGTGAATATTTATTTTTTTAGTTCTGCTTTGTGTTGTTTATTTTTATTCATTCTCTCTTCCAGTTTGGACAACCGGAAATTGTCTTAAAAGATGTATGTCAAATGCCGGGGAAGGCGCGGGAAATTCGCTGATCAAAACAGTGCGGGCTCTTTCTTTTTGTCACGTAATACGTGGTTGTAAATCATCTTGATTGAGAATGACAGAGATCTTCGAACAACTTGTATTTGAAAAAAAAATGAAGAGAGGAGGAGATAAATATAGTTATAGAGACAAGCGGGACCCTCTGAAAGCCTTTGGGAGGCAAAGAAGTGGATTGTAAAGAAATATTGTCTGGTCACGCAGCATACATTATAGTTTGGCGTAGGTCAACGGCGGTTAGTAAAACAAACACTATTCTTCTTTGTAATACTATTCTTTTTCTTAGGTTGTAGCCTAAACTTCATGAACTTTTTAAGGGCATAATTTCTTTATCGCTAGAGGGAAGAATTTTTCATCATTGAATGTTGTTTTTAGATGTACGAGTTGACGTTGCTTTCATGACTGGCATATACTGGCGTGATTCAAAGCTTGTCAACAACCGCGCACCATGTGCCCTTGAAATCTCCCTTACAACAGCTTGGTCTTGTCACAGTAGAGACCATAACACTTGTTGAATGAAGGACTTCTGTATAGTTTAACTTCTAAGAAGAATAATCTCTGATTTTGTGAGAAAAGCAAAACGAGGTCACAAACATTACGATTTTGCCTTCGATATTTTGGTGACATACATCACTAATCACTGTGAAATTTTTAATTTTCTCGCAAATTTCGAACGCTTTAAGCATGCATTAAACTCCCCAATTATTATTCTTGTATAACGGGCTGGAAAATGTCGGTTTAGTAACTTCAGCGGCCGTTAATTGCTGAATTATTCGACAGGTGAGGTGGAAATAAGCTTGATTTAGGGGCAGTGTTCAAGTGGCATCTGACGCCCAAAAAAGGAAGAGCCCAGAAATGTTTTTTATGTTTATTGTAGACCAAAGGGTTGGTAAAGATGGAATAGCAAAATTATTGTCATAGCTTTCTGGCAAGGAGAGATATTTGATCTCCAAATCAGCAAGTATTTGAATGGCTAAAAAGGTTGTCCCATATTCAAGGCCGGTGATTGACAAGCTGTCAATCAAATTGACTGAAACTTACATTCTTGCATTGGTCAAAGATGTCTCAACATATATACAAACCTTCATAGTCAAAGGTTAAAAGCAGTTGTCCTGAGGGCTTTCTACTTTTGCCTGTTATTAATGCACTTTTATTGGTAAAAAATCTAATTAAATCAGTTGGGTGGGCTATCTCCCACCATAAAGATCCAAACTGTGAACCAGTTTGTCATTTTGAGTTTTGGGGTAGAACCTTTAAACTGGCCAAGTTTCATTGAAATCGGAGAGATAGCATGTAGCACACCTGCCTGGTGCACCCATGGACTCACTCTTAATACCACTGTAAGTGGAAAAATATAACAAATGGAGCAAGATGGACGCTCGAAAATTCACGAAGCTTAGAAATAACTGAACTTGCCGAGATCCCGAATCACGATAAGTGAGGTCACCCATGAGCTTTTCACACATCATGCCTCCTGATGTCCAAAAGGTCCATTAAAAAAGTTCATAGAAACCTTCTCTTGATATTTGTACGCGGGAAAACTTAAAACCGAGCAAAAACTCATCGTCCCCTTCCATGTCTCCATTCTCCGCCATATTTGTTTCCAAGGAAAATTTGTACTCAGTCTCACTCGGCCGAATTTCTTAACTGGGGCGATCATGTAAACTCGGTTCCAGACCTCGCTGCCAGCCCCCCCTGGTGAATATAAAGCCGAACAAAATCGCTGTCGTGAACTGGGTGTTTTGCCAAAGTTTCAAAGTAAAACCTTTTTGAAAATACACGAATATCCAAGTGCTGATGACTTTGAAGGCAAGAAAAGACTTCATGGTGTTTAAACAGAGTGATTTATTGTGAAGTGGTTTTCTTTTTATCTGACTTTTTGTACGCTCGAAGCTATGTTTACCACTACAGAGGAAAACGAGGTCGCTTTGTCACTGTTTTGTGATTTCGGGATTTTCTCGCAAGACCAATTTTGCCTATAACTAGAAGTTAATTTATGGAGAAGAGAGGAAGGCAAATATTTTCGAAAATTGTACGTGCCAGCAAGTTAACAAGGCAAAGAACTTTAGAGATAAACAACGCTCACCTTGATCGCAGCCGCTAGCGACGAAGAAAACTTTCTCATTCACGGTGAGTTGACAGAAACAAATAAAGCTCTGGATACTTTTCTTCTCAGAATTGGGTAGTAATTTAAATTTTCGGCGTTTTCTTTTAAACCGTTGATGCTATAGCTTACAAAACTCGATACAAAGGGATTAAACTTATCATTTGCCATGTTTGAAGATACTGTAAAGATCTAACTTTTGCGCATCCACTGTTTACGGCTTCGTGTTCACGCATGAATTTTCACCCGTCAATCAAACTAATCGTTTTTTAATGGTTTCCTTTCTGATTCTGTTGAGATCTCTTCGTGTGAATATACTAAAACAATTATTCACCTCAGGCTCAGTTAATATTGTTGAATAATCCCCTCGACTTCGTCTCGGGGATTATTCAACAATATTAACTTCGCCTTCGGCGAATAATTGTTAAATAGCAAGTACCCTTGTGAGAGTCGAAAAGATTCAATGTATTTTTTGGTATTCAAAATATTAAAAAATTAGCTGAGACATTCACGCTTAACTGATGACCGAATACTGTTTTAACGTTTAGCGATTTGAAGTGTTATGAAGATCGAATCCGACCATCTCGGTTGATAAAATCCTCAGACGTGTCTCGTTTCTAGGCGTCTCAAGTGTTTGGTAGAAAAAGCGACTGGGAGCGATCAATGGACCATGGGAATGTTAGGCGTTGGCGCAAACGACGCTTTGAGGGGATCATCCGATCCCTTGCGCTGAACCAAAATCGCTACAGTCGCTCTTGATCGATTACGAATTCGCTAGATCGGGCCTGGTTTTTATTATATTTTATGTATTCTAGAAGACTATTTTTCAAAAAAATTTGCCGTTCTAATGTTAACTAAAACCTCAAACAAAATGAATGTGTGAAATTAAAAGCTACTTGCCATGACATCGAGGAACGTCACCATCCCATTTTCCACTTAGATCACACTTTAAAACTCTAGAAACCTCGAGTCCAGTAACGTCCATAGAATAGCCGTCAGGACAGTCAAAACGGCAGGATGAGTAAAATCTCGTTGGCTGGGTGACACATTCAGGAGGAGTCACAGTGGCATACCGGACAGTGGGAAGTTTAAGGCAGCGAGTTTCTGAGAAAGAAAACAAATAAAACATTAAGGACAATTTGCATGTAACTCGATTGCAGTGAAACCTCTATTAAGCGGAAACCCTCTATAAGGGCGAATACTAAGCCGGGTCCCGAAATTAACGTCTTATATTTCCCTTTATAGCGAGCTCCTATTCAGCGGACACCTCTATGGTGGATGAGAACTGCCACTGAGTCTTAGGCACATTTTTTCTTTTTTTTCTTTATTATAAGTAGATTGAATGTAAAACAAAATGAAAATAACATTTAAATCAAATAAAAATGCAATAAAATGTAAAACAAAATGCAAGTAAAATCCCAATCAAAATACAAATGCAATTAAATTTAAAATGCAAAGTTAACTCCATTCAGATTAAAATTGACTGCACTTTAAAAGAGAATGCAAAACAGAATATAAGTAGAAGTCAAAGTCAATTAAAATTCAATAAATTTTGAAAAGAGAATGGAAAACGAAGTTAGTGGCAGTGCTCGGCCATGCGAAGATTTACTTTCGTTTGAAGTAAAATTGAAAGTAAATTATTCGCATGGCCGAGCGCTGCCACTGCCAGACCCGCCCCAGGCCTCCAAACCAATACCATAAAGCAATGCGCGCGTTTTGTGTGAGTCGTCAACATGGCAGAGTGGAGGCGGTATGCCGCCATTCAGAAGGCTAAGAGAAAAGGCAAGAAAACAGGAGAGGAAAGCACTGTGGCGGAAGAAATAGTAGTGCAGATGTATCAGGCAAACAGCAGAAGTACACTAGGATAGGGCCCCAGGAATACGTGCCTTTTGAGCACGAAGAGATAACGATTGCGAACATCAAAGACGCCTGCAAGAAGCACTTCAGGCCTCAGATCGAGAAAAATCTTATCTGTGACGTACCGGCTGGAGAGCGCGGGCCATCTTGCGAAAAGATGGCCCATATTCCAAACCGAAAAGTGTTCTATATACGGTTTATAAAACGCGAAGGAGTGGAGGTCGTTTCCGATGAGGATGGATCGTTGGAATGCAAGGTAATAGCACAATAAACCCGTAATAATCAAAATGAATCACGAGTTTTATTTGCACTTTGGATTTGGATTATGAACTCAAGACCTTTCTTCTAGGAATTCTGGTAAGGACATTTTAGGTAGTTGAGGTTTTAGTAACAGGAAAATAATCTTCGCGGAAGCGTTTTGTTTACTCACCGGTTTACTCGTGGTGTATAGAAATATCCGTGGGGAGTGACTTTTTGCAAAGCCACTGTTTGTATTAAAGTTTAGAAAACGTTTTAATTGCAAAATTAAACCAAATCTGCATCCAGCTGTTGCTTCCAGCACATTAGATTATTGGTACTATTTGATACTATGAAGTCCCAGGAGGATTGAAATTTCCAGGATAGAATTAGAAAACTTTTGTTCCCTGATTCATAACAATCTATAGTTTTCTACATTCCACTACAAGGTTACAAACCAGCATTCTTAAACTCATTAATAATTCGTAAGGTCGCAGGGGCGGATCCAGGATTTTCCTTAGGAGGGGATACACCAATAAGAAATGGCGTAACTGACTGGTGATGTAAAGAAATTTTAAAAGCGAATGTGAAGAGGCTTCATCTCAGGGGGTTGGGCGAGAGGGTGTTCACCCCCTGCACCCTTCCCCTAGATCTGCCCCTGGGTCAGCAGTCAATAAGATTTATTTAGGTGAGGTGGACGGATCTTGATGCCCAATACCAATAGTTAATACTAATTATTTTTCAAAAGTGAGCACTTGGCCCTCAGCCTTGTGCTTTCATCAGTTTCTCTGTGTTTTTCTGGAACCCCTGATTAAATACTCACCCCCCATTGTCGATAATTATAGAACTTAAGGTGGCTCGATATAGTTTTTCAAAGTCAATACCTCCCAAGTTTGAGCGTAAACTACGTCGCCATAAACAAAGATTTGGAAAAATTGACACCACAGTTGTATTAGATAAAGACGAAACTTTGTTATGATCAGGGTTGCAATGACATCGGAGTTGTCATGGCAACGAAATGACGCCATTACCTACTTTACTTGCGGCAGTATATCTCGGCACTGGGAACTGTTCTTCCAAAATCGTTTACTAGAGCTTTTTCCTACAATAGTCGCCTCGATGTTCGTGAAGTTTAAGCGAAATCTGTAAGAGCGTTATCAAGATATTTTGGGAACAAGTTTTTATGGTTAGAATACGGTAAAAAATGGACATTCTTGATGTTCGACTGTTATCTGTGCTAAACGTAGCGCTTTTGATATGCAATTTCACCTCATAGTACTTTTAATCTTTTTAAAAACGTGTGTGAAAGATCATGGAGATACCTCCA